GCGAAGAAAAGACCACCTGGGATAAAGAGAGTGTATAGAATACTGACTGAGACGTCATTGTGAGAGGGACATGAGTCACCAACCATCCAAAGCTCCTGGGGCCTAAATCTTGACTGAACAACCTCTTGTAGTCCTAAAGGTGGCCATTTATATAAATTTGTAGTTTTATTTCGAACAGATTCTTTAGAAAATATTGAAAAGGTTGAAAAGAGGAACACACACACATAGATTTAAACAGATATGTAGTCAGTATTAATGTTTGGAGGTGTGTAAGTGGCACCCAGAATCCTTGGCTATTCACCTACTGACAGAAAATATACATCTGGATTTTTAAATTGCTTTAAACAAGAGGAACATGTAGCGTCACTCACCCACAACCAGACTGAGGGCATATCCAAAGGGAGCTTGTGCCCAAGCCAAGCCGAAATCTGGTAGATACACATATTCAGCTGTGCCATTGATGTATCCTCCTCCAACCCAGGTTGCTGAAAATCAAAAAAAAAAAAAGGTCACAGCTAAAGAAAAAATCTAGTTAAATAAAAATGGCATCTATTTGACATTTGATTCAATAATAACACCTGCTCTTATCATTTTGTTTCCTCCATGAGGAAAATCACTTAGCAGCTGCCAATACACACAATTTTTAAACAAAGACATGGTCTTACAAATTGCTTGAAAAAAAAAAACAAAAAAACAAAAGAAACATCCTCAACCAAGTCATGTGAGACTGAAAAACAGCAGATTTTTCACATGTTAAAAAGAGAAAAGATTCATCTAAACGTCTAAATCATTTTAAAGCCACTTTAAAGTCGGTCATATAGCCACTATAAGGTTTTTGACTGATGAATACAAACTTCACCTGTCATGGTAAATCCACCGACAAATAATCCAATATCTCTCCCGCCGACCATGATGGTTTCGCTGCGGTCGGTGCCCTCCGCCTCCCCGGAGTGCTTGTTCTTCCATGCCGCCCAGATGCCCACGAACAGGATCAGTAGATAGAAGAACGCGATAGCCACAAGCCCCTCTACATGGATGGTCATTGTCGCACCGGTCTTCCGCTAGGAACGGGACGGCATGAAGACCTGCTTGACCCCACGGAGGAAGAGGATGAGACATAAAGTATTAAGAATCTAACAATTTGGTATTTATTTATTTTTTGCATTAGGACAAGCTGGGACACATTTTTGACCAGTTAGGCTGGTGTGAAATAAAAGCACAAGCTGAAAAGAATCAGAATAGCATAATAGAAATGATTGTCTTTTACTGATTTAGAAGATTTAATGTGCTCTCAGAAATATTATAATGTCTATATAATATCTAAGAGATAACGGTGATCCTGAGAGCCATGTCATTTTCTATAAAAACAAACAAACAAACAAATAAGACTTTCAACTCATTATGTCATTATCATTCTAAGTAAAGTGAAAGTGCATTGATAAGAAACCTGCAAGCTCGATTTTGTGGTTATTTTTTTCCTCTTCAAGAAAAAGAAATACAGTTAAGTGTCATACATTGCCTTTTTAATATAAAATAAACAAAAATAAACTTAACAAATCTGTGATAATTGGTCAAACCTGTCCTCTCTTTTCGGTCTCTCATCTTGTCCTTCTCTCTGGACACATGCGCGTAAAATTCAAATTACGCACAGCATTCATGATACAGATATGACCTTGTAGCCTAATATATAGCCTAATAAATAATATGAACTGTTGCCTGCACAGCTCCACTTTAGCCACGCGAAATATTAATAAGATATCATCCACCAAAATGCCATTTCATAACCCGTTTACAACAACTTGAAAAACACATGCAAAACTTACCTGAAGTATTTCTAGAGTCATGTGCTGGGGCACCTGAGGCGGAGAGCAGTGAGCAGAGCAGTTAGACGGTTGATGAAGAGCTTCGTCCCCCTTTGCACCGCGAGGAACCGTCTACTGAAGCGTTTGTGGAGGTCTCCCGGGTGACTTACTGAGGCTTATAAGGGGGCAGGTGCCGTCAGAGGACCGACACACACACGTCAGAGACACCAAACGTCCCCGTTAATGAGGACCTCGCATGGAAAGACGTCAGAGTGCGCGCGCTGAGCTGACTGGAGGAGGCTAGGAGAAATGCCTTTACTCAATAACCGGGACGGGTGGGCATCTTACATTTTTCTTTTGAATAATAGAATGTCATGACATGAATTTTGATATCAACGTTGCATTTTTTACACGTTAAGGAATCAGTATCAACATTCAGTGGAAGAGTTTTGTGTCTCACGTGGCTCCTGCTCCTTCAAACTCAGTGCGTAACAGCCGCGTAAATGCGCAGCCATACTTCATGTGGCCTTTTATCCGCTGTCACTCTCTCTCCAGCTGGCATTTTACCTTACAACCGCAATTAACTTTGCTCCACACCAACTGTTCTTACGCGACCGAGTATGATGAGAAACCGTCCCGATGTCCTCGTTTTGCACAGAAGAAAATTATGAATCCATGCGTTAATTGAAAAAAAAAAAAAAAAAAAAAAACTACAGACATTTAGAAGGCCTACTCAACATTTTTTCCCCTCTAAGTACTTTCTACAGCAGTTTGAACTCTTTGGGGTTTAATATTCAGCATCTTCTTGAGCAGAGACGGTCCACTCTTCCTACTCTTCCTCCTTTCCTGTGGCCTAAAAACGCTCCTCACCTCTCAGCAATTAGGCATCACTTAAGTGCACTGTATCTGCCACTTTCCCTTCAGAATATATATCAATGAACTGTGTCTACTTAATGACCTCTACTTCCTAAAGTCGTTTAATCTGGGCTCCTCTTGTCAGAACTGACAGGCACCCAATTAGGATGGATCCTGAGGAGCAGCGCAGAGATTTAATGATACTGTCAGACTTATAAAAAAAAAAGAAAAAAGAAAAAAAGAAAAAAAAAGGCACACATGGTGCACAAACAGCTGTATGAAGAAGTTATTTGAGAACCGAGGTATCACTCGTCAGGAGAAAGGGAGACAAGTTTGTTTTAAACTACGCCCCCTTCTGGCAACAGACCAGTTTCACCACCACGCAAAGAGCCCAATATATTTGTACCTGGTTTATCTAGATAACATTAATTCAAACTTACATTAATGTACACTTGGCTGTCTGGCCGTTGTTACTTTTTTATTTTCACCATCTATATGCATATATAAATTTCATTACGTGATGAACTAATATTTATTTCTGATGTTTCATCTGTAAAGAGAACCAGCTGTAATCAGTCTGTTTTCAATGGCAGGTGTTTTAAGCCAATATGCTCGACTAAAGAAAAGCTTTTAATGCAACTCCTTGAGAAAAAAAATTCTCCTCTGCTCTAATAAAGTGTTTCTGTTAATTGTGCAAAAATGATAACAATGTTATTCAGTCCTGCTTGAAGGGCTCAACTGTACATTTTGGAGGGCTTTCTGATTCCTATTTAAATTAACATGAAAATACAAATTTGAAGCACAATTTGAATAGGTTGAGTAATTAGAATAACACTGACTTGGATATGATTTAGTTTGACATCTAACAAGTGATGCCATGTACTACTGATGCCAAAAGCCAAAAGACAGCTGGAGTTGTTTCTAACTACATGTTTGACAGATGGCTGGAACATGACCGTAACACTTTTACAAGACAAACACTGAAGCTGAGTCTTTACACAGCCACATACACATTCCTTAATCATGTCATTATATCAGCATAAAGATACAAACAACACACGATTTACTAAGTTAACTGTGTGCTGCATTGCATAACAACACAAATGCTCAGAACTTGTATAAATGAATGTTTATGTTTAACCAAATAAATTGTTCAGGGCCAGGAACTTGAGGTTTAATGAGCAGCTGTTACTGGCAGTGCTCAAGATGTTTGAGGGAGAGAGAGAGAGAGAGAGAGAGAGAGAGAGAGAGAGAGAGAGAGAGAAAACTTACTGCATATTCTTCTCTCTGGGAAATTCTATTATTATTTCGACTATATCAAACAGTCTGAGCTTAAATACAACAGTATACAGATGCTCCGGGTCTCTCCCTCCCCGGGAGGTCAGCGGTTCGATACCCAGTTGTTACAAAACTGGAGAAAAGCTTCAGGGGTTGTTGTACAGTGTAATTGAGGTCTTTGTAAATAATGTGGCCGCCTGATAAACATAGAACAGTGATGCATTATCTCCCAGACGGTGACAGAGGAAAAACCAAGATTAAGTGTCTGAGTGAAGTTGTTGTTAAACTGGACTGAGATCATGTGACTATGAAGGCACCAGCTAATTGTGACTGAGTTCTGTCATTAACATGAATAATTACTGACATGTTTGTGTTGACTTTTTAATGTTTTGACCTTTGAATGTTTTTAGCCTAAAAGACGGGTTAAACAACATGAATGTTAGCTGGCTAGCTCACAACAAATACAAATACTGTCTATCACGAATTCCACGAAGTTAAAATGATAATGTGAAATTTTGAGAACTACAAATCCGCAAATATATGGTGTATACAGTGATAACGATTACTCGGTGTTTCACAACGAGCCGTAAAAACCCTTCAGTAAGCGAAGTCTGACTAATACATCAGTCACAAACAAGTTTATTTTCCCCAAATATCTGATTAAAACGAGTGAATATTGTATTTACGTCTTTACCACGGTCTTCTAGGAAGAAAATGCTTCGCCTTGACCGGGAGCGTCATAGTTCAGACATTGGAACAAATCCGGCTCTCCCATTGGACGGCAAAAGATTGGCTTCTCGAAATTGGAACAAATCCGGCCATCTGATTCGCTGGCTGTTTCCCGGGGTTTGGAAGAATTGGAACAAATGCAGGACGGTGATTGGGAGAGGCGGGACACCGCTGAGGACAACCATTGGTTGAGAAGTTGGAAGGGAGAGAGAGAGAGAGAGAGGAGAGAGAGAGAGAGAGAGAGAGAAAGAGAAGGTAGTATTTCCACAGATAACTTGAGCAACAATCATTGCGCCATAACATCCCAAAACATGAAAAAATATTTGTTTTCCTCTGCATTTATTCTTTGAAAGTTAACACATACAGTGTAATAAACAAAATACACGTAGCTCATGTGATAATACAGTTTGAAGGAAGAATATATAACTTCTATTATGCTAAAGTGAAGGTAAGCTCAGAGGGTCCTTGTTTTGAAATAGAACAAGAAATATGATCTCACAAAGACCTTCTCCTTGTTCTGAATATATGAAGTAAGATGTCTGGAGGTTATGAAAGTTGACCATGTGTCTCCTACTAAATTACAACTCGTAAATGACCTCCAGTTAGAAACAGACAACACTACAAGATCAATGTGGTGTCCTTAATGCCACAATGAGTAGTTCTGAATATTTTGGACTTGGGTGTCCCCCAGTGGTGGTATAAAAAGACGGTGTCTGACATGAGTGGGCTAAAAGCAACAGGGACCATTTTTCAATAGAAATGTCTCCTTGCAGAGGAAACATTACATTATCTGTAACTTTCAAAATGAAAAACTTTTAAACTGCCTGACAGGAACAGCAGCTGAACTTTTAGCTTGTGTTTAAGCTAAAATGATGAAGTATTTGATGATGTAAAGGTTTCATTTTTAACTCGTTCTACATGAAATGTATCTGTGAAGTTTTCTATGGCTGGTAAATCTGTTGAAATGGCCAGACTAACCATGAACTGACTTTTCAGTCATTCCTAACTTGTGGGACTAAATTCACAAAACTAAAAGTTATCGTTTTGTCCTGTTCAACCCATACACTCTGGTAATACACTACAGTTAATATTTGAAACCATGAACACGACATGGCTGTCGATCAAAGATGCTAAATTTGCTGTATATAGCTGTATTGTACAGTCTTGAAACGACTGTACTGTATGAGAACTCCAAAAATGTATTTTCACAGAAATGAGCAACTATTATTTTGACAAATTTATTAAACTTTTTATCAGCTATTTCCTTTTGCCTTGAAACTTCTCAAAAACTGTGAAACACAAAAAAAGTGATGGAGCTTGGCAAACACCATCAGACAAAAAAGAAGCAACCACACAAAGTGATCTGTAGTTTTAATGCAAGCTCTCAGTCAGAGACTGAAGAAGACCAAAGGCTTGCATTATAAACTCTGACGAGACTGAGCAGATGTTTTTTCAGTTGTCTGCCTCTGAATAACTGAATTTACCATGAGTAAATTGTAAGAAGCATTTTGTTTAAATACAGTTTTTCTTTTGAGCAATGAAATAAGGCAAAGATAAAAACACTAGTTGAAAATTAGCTTTGTAAAGAGAAGTTTTGACTTATAAACAAACTTTACAGGCTAACTAATTTGACATTCATTTATGACAATCATTTTATCATTTGTTACAGCTAAGGTAACTATTACCTATATTTACTTTTATATTCATATTCACAAGTAACAATATATACACAAGAGGATCTACTGGGCCCTAGAAATCAATTTTTTGGTTACAATTATAATCTTCAAAATGCAAAATATATTTTCACAGCTACTAAAAAAAGAGCAATGGTAACCAAACATGAGCAGAGCTGCATGTAGTTATTAGCTGCAGTAAACATAAAGTAACTGTTGTTTTTAATGTGACAGTGAGATGGCATTATCTGCAAATTAAAGAAAGGCTAAAGAATGGATAAAAATGTTTGGTATTATTCAAACAAATACCAGTAAATTTGCCTCTGCTGTAGAAGTAAATGATACCTGACTTAACTGTGTAACGTATCTACAGAGGCCCTGAGAGACAAGAGGGGAAAAAAAGAAAAGAAACATTGAGAATTTGGCATATTCTAGAGGTGGAAACAATTTCTTAAGTCCTTTGAAAGGTCGTTTTGAATGTTTTTTGAATGTTTTTTTGAATGTTTTAGCCCATTACACATATATCACATGTATCTTCCATGACGGTCAAAAGTTGTTTTTAGAATATCTGATGCATTGAGGCTTGAGACAGGAAAAGACTGTTACAAGCTCTCAAGCAACAGCCTTAAAATTGTAGATCAGAGCATTTATCCCCTGTTGTAACAGTGCAGGGGAAGCTCACAAGGCTACACCAAAGCTAATATAGGTTATAGTGAGCCAGTGGAAAAACAGCATAATATATTTAGTTTACATCATTAATGTAGTGCCAGTCTGAATCCACCAACTGTCACACTTGTTGTCTCTTCAGGGAAGGCAGCACAAACCATTTTCTACAAGACATCCCAGGCATTCATGCTCCTTAAAAGAAAGACAGCACCATCCACAATGACTTATTAAAGAGCAGCTATAGTTTATCATGATGCCTGGTACACAAAGATATTGAGAAATGGGATGGATAATGTAAATGGAGGTAGACTTTCCCCGAGGATTTTTTAAAACATTATTGTTTCTTTCAATACATCTGTATCTATCAGTTTCAAGTCAAAAAGACTGTATGGAAAATAAGAATTTGCCAAAAATAAATGTGATGAAGTTGATGTTTCTCACTGACTTAGAACTGTTGATGGAGGCATTTTTACGGTTCTTAACTGGTACCAGAGAATCAAATTACGTACTAATTTTTTCCATTGATCACACACCCAAGAACAATCTAAATACCCTATTAAAAACATTACTGTCCCATTGTACCTCTGAAAACATGGTCAACACATCTTTCACAAAAACAACTTCCATGGATGCTGCTACTTCGGGCGTGTCCCTCCTCAGGTCCTCATGTTCTCATTGTTTTGATTTGATCTGGAAAAAATGTGAAGAATACAGTTAATCAGCAAATATAGAGCAAGTTATCCTCACAAAAAAAAAAAAATGCTGAAAATCCAAACTGACGATGACTGCTGTCCTCTATAAAAAAGCCAAGTGTTGAAACTCGTCATACTCAAGGGACAGACTTCATCTGGAGTGTTCCCTTAAGAATTTGGTATCAGACATCAACACCAGATGATGAAGCTGAAGAAACTAAATTTTGAATATGGGAAGAGGTCTAGGAACTTTACACAGACTTTAGGCTCAGAATAACATGCTAGCTCACTCGGCTAGTCACAATAACATAGTAAATACGGTAAGATAAAACTAGGGGAGTTTAGACAATCTTCTACAGCTACACAGCAACAATAAATAATACAACACTTACAAAACACCCAATACTCACTGAATAATTTGATCTACGGAAGGATTTGAATGAGAGCATTGAACACAATAAAAAAAGTAAATGTTGTTGATGTAGTGGAGCAGACCATAAGGGTTAATATAGAGTAATGTGCTGTATATCTTCCACTTGCTTGAAATTATGACACAAGGCATTTTTATCACCTAGTAATGCAAACAGATGCATCAAAACCCTATCAAAACCTGATAAATATTTACATTTACAAACACTGTCGCTATCCTGACCAAAAATGTTCATTCAAATTAGCCACATACAAAATTTTGTTGCAAGGTTAATTTAACATAACACAAATCTGGGTTATAAAGTGAATATTAGGTCCATAATTCTATATACACGAAAACTCAACCTTCCTATATACAGTCAAGCCCGAAATTATTCATACCCCTGGCAAATTTTGACTTAAAGTTACTTTTATTCAACCAGCAAGTTTTTTTTTTTGACTGGAAATGACACAGGCTTCTCCCAAAAGATAAGACGATGTACAAGAGGCATCATTGTGTAAAAAAATATTTCTCAGCTTTTATTTACATTTGAACAAAAAGTGGCATGTCCAAAATTATTCATACCCTTCTCAATAATCAATAGAAAAGCCTTTATTGGCTATTACAGCAAACAAACGCTTCCTATAATTGCTGACCAGCTTTTTGCGTGTCTCCACTGGTATTTTTGCCCATTCATCTTTAGCGATGAGCTCCAACTCTTTCAGGTTGGAGGGTCTCCTTGCCATCACCCTAATCTTTAGCTCCCTCCACAGATTCTCAATTGGATTCAAGTCAGGACTCTGGCTGGGCCCCTGCAAAATGTTAATGTTTTTGTCCGCTAACCATTTCTTCACCACTTTTGCTGTGTGTTTTGGGTCGTTGTCTTGCTGAAATGTCCACTGGTGCCCAAGGCCAAGTTTCTCTGCAGACTGCCTGATGTTGTTGTTGAGAATCTTGATGTATTGCTCTTTTTTCATGGTGCCGTTTACTGTGATTAGGTTCCCTGGTGCATTGGCTGAAAAACACCCCCAAAGCATTAGGTTCCCACCACCGTGTTTGACAGTGGGGATGGTGTTCTTAGGGTTGAAGGCTTCTCCTTTTCTACACCAAATGAAGGATACATCATTGTGGTCAAACAATTCAATTTTTGTTTCATCTGACCATAAAACAGAAGACCAGAAGTCTTCTTCTTTGTCCAGATGATCATTTGCAAAGGCCAAGCAGGCTTTTGCGTGCCTTATCTGGAGAAGTGGCATCCTCCTTGGTCTGCCTCCGTGGAACCCAGCAGTGTGCAGTGTCCGATGGCCTTGGTGGTGATCCTTGAAATCTTCTTCACCTCTCTCACTATCCTCCTGGCCAGCACAGGTGTCACTTTTGGCTTCCAACCACAACCTCTGAGATTTTTCACAGTGCGGAACGTCTTGTATTTTTTAATAATAATAATAATTATAAAATACTTTGCACTGTAGCCACTGGAACTTGAAAACATTTAGATATGGCCTTATAGCCCTTTCCTGACTTGTGAGCAGCCACAATGCGCAGCCGCAGGTCCTCAGTGAGCTCCTTTGTCTTAGCCATGACTGTCCACAAACTAACTGCAGAGAGCTGCTGTTTTTCACCTGTTGATTAAAACAGCTGTTCCCAATGAATCAGGGTAATTAGGATGCTTTAGAACAGCTTGGACCATTTGGAATGGTATAGAACTTTGGATTTTCGCATAGACTGTGAAAGTTTGCAAAGGGTATGAATAATTTTGGACATGCCACTTTTTGTTCAAATGTAAATAAAAGCTGAGAAATATTTTTTTACACAATGATGCCTCTTGTACATCGTCTTATTATCTTTTGGGAGAAGCCTGTGTCATTTCCAGTCAAAAAAAACCTTGCTGGTTGAATAAAAGTAACTTTAAGTCAAAATTTGCCAGGGGTATGAATAATTTCAGGCTTGACTGTATAAGTTTTTTATATTTAACTAACCACAAAAACAGTACGTAAAAGATAATATGTGGACTATACTGAACAGTGTAGTTCTATTAAACTGCACTGTGAGCTTCCCCACCAACACAGCCCCTTGTGTTGTGTTAACGCAGGGAAAATGTCTGTGAATAAGCCTTACACTCCCACTCTCTCTTTGATTCATGTGAAATCTCATCATACCTTGTAACCAGTCGACTCCCTCCTGTAAACCTTCTCCTTTCAGAGCATCTGTGGCACTGAAACATATCGAAAGTGTAAATTAAGACGGTTTTTGTATCGTGCTATATTCACTATGAAAGAAACAGTCAAAACTCTGAGTATAATCACCTCTATGTTACACAAAACTCACATATTTGCTCTGTGTCACATCCTCTTCATATCAACCAGCTACAGTAAATGCAAATATTTTGCTGGTGCCAGCTGGGTCCCTAAACTCTAGTAAACACTGTATTACTCAGTCCTTTGTCCAGCATTTTTATTACACAATTTGCATGGACATTCTACTTTATTATTTTAATGGAAACAAGTCACTGTCACATTCTGCTTGTTCAAGGTAATCAGCTGTGTTTGTCGACACTAAAAGAGCAGGGATAAATGAATAAATCATACTGTCATACTTAATCAGCAGATTCTGTGTGTGCTGACACCACACTGTATTATTTCACAGTAGACTACAATTAATCAGTGATACATGTTTTCTCAATGGCACTGGAACTCAGGCATAATAAGTAAGCAAATAAGGATGCATGTATGGTCATACCAGATGTGCCAGGGTTTGTCTTTGATGTTCTCCAAACAGAGTAGCTGTGAGACCTTGACTGATGAAAGAGCATCCCTGACATCCATCTTGTTAGCAAAGAACAGGATGGGGATCCTCCTGTGTTTAATATCTATTGAGAGACAGAGAGGAAAGCTGTCATAAATTCAGATTGTCATTCACTTCAAATAATGAGAAACAATGTTTTGAAACAAAAACAACCTGGGGAAAAAAACTTTATAAAAAATTAGCTTTATTCGGCAAAACAAAATGTATATATAATATAATAATTATCACAAAGTGCAAAACCTTTCTTTATGTACTGTGCTGTCTAGACTTCACATAGCCCAAGAAGGCGATAAACCAGGTGGGTCAGCAGAGATTCAAACTCATGCAAGCCCAAGATGAAGAATCGTGTTCAATATGAATGAATTTACCAGGATGATTAAGTAATGTATCCAGTTCTTCTTTGGCCACAACCATCCTCAGTTTGTCTGCACTATCAATGACAAATATGATAGCCTGACCTTCCCTTGGGAACAAAGAGATGAGAAATATTAATATGTATATCAAATGCATAAATGGCAGAGGAGGTTATTGTTTTTGTGCCATCAGTACACTCACTTGTAGTAATGCTCCCAAAGGTTTCTGTATCTGCCTTGACCAGACATGTCAAAGACTGTGAAGGAAAGACTAAGAAAAGAAAAGAGAAGAGTAGAGATGAGAAGAAAAGAGAAGAGATGCTCTAGTGACAATTCTATACAGTTAAAAAAACATCAGACAATATATGAATTTGAACAGATGACTGAAAAAGGAAAACTGGAAAAGGTGACATTAATTGAAAGATAACATTAATTGGACTTTGAATTTTACTTAATGTCCAACAATGTGTTGTCTTATGATGAACAGCTACCTGGATGTCTTGAACTTCTCTATGCTGAAGCCAATGGTTGGAACGATGTCTTGTGCTTGGGCCTTTAAGACAAATGCAGTGTTTTATCAACAGTAGCTAAAAGTGGAAGCACACATTAGCAATATATCTGACATTCTTTTCTAGTTAACTGGACTGTAAATATGGAAACATGCACAAAACCTAATTACAAGACAGCAAGGGCAGTGATATGGAGGAGGAATGTGTACAACTTCAAATTCATGTAATCACTAATTAATGTGCTGTGTGAGTGAATAACATTTCTCACATTAGTTATGCCAGAAACAGGCAGACTTACATTGGAAGGCTTGAGTTGGTTGATGATGGTGGTTTTTCCACTGTTGTCCAGGCCGAGACACAGCACATTCACCTCCTTCTTCAACCCCAGCCATCCTGCCAACTTGTCAAACAGCCCCATTTGCTATCCAGCAACCATCAGCTGTCTGTCTGATCTTCAAAAAAAGACCATAAAAACAGGAAGAATAGGATCATATAGATTAAACGGGCTATTTCAGGGAAATACTGGAAGGATCACGACAACACCACCTAAAATTAAATTTATTCTAAAGATGTGTCTGCACTGACCGCCTGTCTGTTTAATCACCTCCAATGGTTATCAGAGATGAATGAATACAAGCAGGCTGTATATTCTGTACATACACATGTATACATACACATACTACAAACAACCACCTACTGTATGTAGTGTATATAAAGTAATATTATATCATTTTATTATAATAACCATTTAATATTTATTTCAGTACTTCTTGCACTCTTCCATACCTTGCACCACTTGTCCGCTTGTTTAGAACTTACAGAAACTGCCTTGTATATAGATATTGTATGTTGTTGCTGTATTGTATGTATGCATCTTTTTTCTCACCTACTTGCCTGTACAAAATAGTTATATGTTTTGTATTATATCTATATCTAATGTAACGATTTAAAAAAAAAAAAATTATTTCATTTTTCTTGGACTAGCATTCTGACATCATAGTCCCACAATAATAATGTTATTGTGTCTGAGTCAAATTCCTTGTAAGCACAAGCATACTTAACTAAATTAACAATTTCCACGACAATTATAATGTGGCAATTAAAAAACCGTGGGGAAATCAGTGAATGAACGTGTGTTGGTTGGGAAAGGATTACATTTCATTCTCATTGCAAATAACTGTTGAACTTTCCCCCTGACTTGACCAGCAAAGACTCTACGAGTTTGGATTAACTTCAAGCAGCTAACTAAATACATTATATTAAACATAAAGAGGAGATTTACTGTATGTGTGTATTAGCTACAGAGCAATGGCTAATTGCAGCTATCAACAAGTAACATTATCGACGACTTTTACTCGCTAACCGTTAGTTTAAGCTAACATGCTAACCAGGTTGTAACGTAATTAACATTCGCTAACAGCTATTTAGTTAATCTCTTGTTGTTAATGTTGCTAGTTAGCCTTAGCTAACGTTTAGCCACTAATTACTTCGGCTTGCTGGGATTACATAGGCAGTATCTAACGTTAGGCAAAGGCACTGCTATAGTGCCAGTTTTACAAGGAAGTCACAGACATGACACAGGATGAAGAACACAGGTTTGGAACTTAACTTTAGTATTAGCGTTACAGTTAATGCTAACACGCTAGCTGGTGACGATATCGCTAACGTTAGCTTGTATTATCGTTTCCCACACTGTTTTGTAGAGCTGGATTTTACCTGTAATGTAGCCTTGGGGTCCTGCTTTCAGGATGCACTTAACGTTCAGTAAATAACCAGGATCAAACCAGTGTTTCATTCATTTCTCCTCCACTCTCATGCGCTCTAGTCTACAGAGGAAAAGCCCAAGTTATTTACACTGTGTTGCTGGGAGACCACTGAGCTGGCTCAAGCCTTCCACCTACAGGTCAAAGAAGGCTGAGGTCATCATCTGTCATTGACAAACCTGTACTAATTATCTGAATTAGCTAGTCATCAAATGCACCTGGGGTGGTTGTTAGGGTGATAAGTAATGAAGTGCATGAACACCTGAGGAACTAATATGGTTTTAGATTTTTACAATTTACTCAGCTAACAGAAATTGCCTTTAATGCTACTAACGCATTTTTTTTAAATTACAGATAAAATCCAAACTTTTATTACAAGTGTTTTGAGGTCCTTTCTACTGAAGGGGCCCTGGGTACTTAACTCCACTATTTCCCACACAACTACCCTCCTGAATGTAATGTTTCATTACACCAACATACACCTTCCACAAGACAGTGGCCAAGCAGAATAGAGTATATAAAATGGGTAAAAAGAGAACAATACTCAATGAAATTGCCATGGAAATTAAAACATCTTACTGCAAATATTTCTTGGGCTTAAAATTAGTTATGCTGAGTATGATGCAACTATATTCTGTTGTGCAACCATCCTACTTTAATTACAAAAAAAGTCAGTTCTTGTTTCATCCCTGCAGCTGCATTTGCTAGTTAATTTATGCATATCACTATGGACAAAACAACTTAGAAATAAGTTGAGAAATGGCTGTCTTTGTAAAAAGCAGAATACCACATGAAATATAAAAATGTGTAGATTTTACCATTGGCTTTGGCTCATGAAGCCTGTATGCCTTTAGTCTATAACTGTCCATAAACACCTGTTTGACAAACTCACCTGACAATTCTTCATGTCCAGAAAACGTGTCAGTCTCTTGAGTGACAATTAAGAGGACACTGTTATTGTGCGTGTGTGTGTTTGTGAGAGAGAGAGAAGATGCATCCATGGATACCTGCGCTAATGTGCATGAGAGATAGATGTTGGTGCCTGGGGTGGTTAAAGTCTGAGAGAAAACTAAGTATTAAAATAGGGTTGTTTATTAAGGAACAAACATACTGAATAAAACATACAACTTTCACAAGACTTTTTGTACATGACATACTGCATTATCATGAGGATAGAACATACATTTCTATAAAATCTTTTGACATTCAGCGGTCTTCAGCTCAAAAAACATGATTGTATTTACCATTCTGTCGATCTTTATTTCTGGTGAGTTGATTCTTAAACCAGCTGGAAAGGTTGCTATTAAAGTCACACACTGTACCATACGTTACCATACCCTATATTCTATCCACATCTTCTCTGGTCATGAGGTAACAGACTTGAGACCATTCAAAGTCAATAGAAACCATTGGATTGTCACTCGGAAAGAGAAGAGGTATTGGTGAACACTTGAATAGACACTAGAGAAAAGAAGTCCTTAATTCAAGTGAATGCTAGTAATTGCTGAGATAATAAAGAGACCGCATTTGGCCAATGCTGACAGAGGTTGATTGTTGTGGAGTCTGTATTGATAATGATCCATAAGATGATGAGTGTGTATTAACTAGACCACATGTGGTCTACCGGCGGATCGCTCTCTCGTGAGCAGCATATGGTACCTGCTACACCTAACAGTCTGGTGCAATTAGTCAAATGACGATGCAAAGGAACTCTGGTTTGTTTCCAGCTCAGTGTGCAGCACACACAGTCTGTCTTTGTGCAACGGTCTCACACTTGGAAGCCACTCTGTTGGATGTGGTGAAGCTGCAGGCGCAGAGACTGTATGCTGCTTATAATTCTCCTCTGGTGACCAATCAAACAGACACCGATACGCCTGATGTCGCTAAAGGGGAGAAGAAAATTTATGCAGTTTGAAATTAATAGTTTGAGAAGAGCAAGAGACCTACATGACAAACATGCAACGACGTGTCCACATCATTTTAACCTGCAACAAGCACATTCAGAGAAGTTGATCATAAAAACAATAACCATATTTAGAAGAGCAGGACAAAATGCTGTAATAGTAGTCATAATATAGTTCATGTCAGAGTGCGCAGGAAATTCTGCAACTTGGAACGACATTTTCTGCAGCTTCATGATGATACAGCTTTAAGCCACAACACATATATAATATTATTGCATCATCATCAAAAAATTATAACAAATATTTAAAGGAAGGCTACATGATACACACAAACTGTGCTAATATATTCTTCAGCTTAATAGTGGAATCATTTTTATTACAACATCTCCATTCCTGTTTCTTTGATGCTACTTTGTTTCCTTTTAGTGTGCTCCTTGATACTGTCGCTGCACTCTGTATAATTTCACTCACTCTATACTCATGGTTGAAATGGAATCCAGTGTTGTGTATCCTGCTGCTAGGAAGTTGTTCTTATACTGGCTCATTTTGATGGAGTCAAGCCAGTCGCCGATAGAGATGAAAAGAGGGTAGTCTGGCATGTCCTCTGGGGAGTCAGGGTAACTAGGATGACAAATGCAAAGTTAAGCAGAGCACATTCATACATCCTCTAGAGGATGTATGATATTTTAACAGCATTTTCCCATATTCCTCATATCTAAGCCCATGAGCTGCAAACCATGTATACATTACGATTAACCATTTCCCAACCTTCTACCTTCAAATAAGCCATTGGTTTCACTTTGTGCAATCTGGTATGAAAATCAGCTTGGGGAATCTTGAAGAAATAGGGTTAAGACAAGTAGTGAAGTGTTATTCTTTTTTTTCTTTTTTTTTTTGACAAAACAAAAAAAATGTTGCTGGATGATGTGAGGAATGCAAGAAAACTTTCTACTCAATCACTTACATTCACTTAAGACACTCAAGAGCCCCAATTATAATCAACATCATCCTTTTCAAGATTTCCACATTTGTTTGATCTTCAAATAATAGACCACAAAAACATTATGCAATACTTTCAGGCATATGACACTCGAACCTTCAATGTTGCCAAACAAATCCTACTTACAACTGCATTGCCATGCTGCGATAACTGACAAAAATTAAATATTCACTGTGGTGTTTTTATCTCAAGCAAGTCTGTGCAACACGATTTTCATACCCCACTGAAATTGAAAGCAATGGCAGCCTGGGAAGTAGGAAAAGAATAAAACCACATCTTATGATTTAGAAAACAGCAGATTGTATTATTAAGTTTACTCAACTTGTAGTTAGTGGGCTCAAACATGTAAAATTTCACAGTGTCTGTGTTGATCAGTGCTTACCTCTGAACATCATTCACCAAAGTCAGCAGACCACTGGGATTGATTATGAGTTTGTCAAGGAAAGAGAGCACGTCGTTGAAGCGTGGGCGCTGGTTAGACTCCTTCTGCCAGCTGTGCAGCATCAACTGGTGCAGCGTCACAGGGCAACCCATTGGCGCTGGCAGACGGTAGCCCTCTTCAATTGATAAAATGACCTGAGACGAACATCAATAAACTAAATGTTGCATCTAAAACAGAACAATGACTGCTCCAGTTTTTAATGTAGCTATTCTCCTCATAAAATATAAACTAAAATACAAATGGCATGTTGGGTTCGCCACAATTCAGTGGTTATGGAGTTTTAATGTCATCAGCAGCTTACGTCTTGATTGGACATCTCCCAGTAGGGCCTCTCGCCATATGACATCACTTCCCACATGACAATGCCGTAGCTCCATACATCACTGGCTGAGGAAAACTTTCCATAAGCGATGGCCTCTGGTGCTGTCCAGCGTATTGGTATCTTTCCTCCCTGACACAGAACAGCAACACAGAATAAGATTGTTAAGGAGATATTCAGAATGTACCACCATAACTCATCCTGCACCTACTGTTAGATCCACACTCACTGTAGCAGTGTAGGCTGCTTCACTGTCATCTTCAAGGACTCTGGACATGCCAAAATCAGACACCTTACACACCAGGTTTTCATCCACCAAGATGTTGCGAGCGGCCAGGTCCCTGTGAACGTAGCCCATATCTGAAAGGTAGGTCATGCCTACTGCAATGCCACGCAGCATGCCCACCAGCTGGAGCACTGTGAACTGACCATCACGTGTCTGGAATAGTTGTGTGTGGGTGTGTGTGTGTGTGAGAGAGAGAGAGAGAGAAAGAGAGAGAGATAGAATAAATATGGTGTCATGAAGACAATATCTCCTCAGGGAAAGAAAGTGTACATCTGTGAGCACATATTCTTCTCACCCGGAGGAATGAGTCAAGCGCTCCGTTTTCCATGTACTCCACCACTATCATTACTGGTCTACCTGAGGAAAAGGTAAAATACATGATTCAAGTGACAAACAGGGAAAAGAGACTAAAGTAAAGAATTTCATGAACATGTGCACGCACACACGCACACACACACACACACAGAAAGAGACATACAAAGATCTTACTCTTAGTGACTACTCCCTCCAGCCTGATGATGTTGGGGTTGTTGAACTGTCCCATGATTGAGGCCTCACGCAGGAAGTCTCGCCTCTGTTGGTCCATATAGCCACCTTTAAGTGTCTTTATTGCCACAGCGATGCCCATCCTTCCAGGTTTACGTAAACGACCACTACAGACTTCTCCAAATTCACCTGCAAAAACACAGTACGCACATGCATGCATGATTTCTTGCATATCATACAACTTATTTGAGATAGTGTTACATATTCTGCAACAAAAATAATAAAATTTGCACAGATTAAGTCTCATGGAATGATTAGAGTTCTGTAATGTTCTGTAATATTCTGTAGAACTCATTGCTGCCTTTTTTTATGATGTTTTTTGTTCTTAGTAAAGTAGAAAAGGCTTTTTAAATTTTAAACCAGCCAAAGCTTCAAAGAAATAAACATTTTAAGTCAGACAGTTCTCAAAACTTAAAGTTCAAACTAGCATTGCTGCTTGTGGTTGTATCCCTCCTCCAACCAGTCAAGTTGCAGTTTGAATCCATGTCTGTCCAGATATCATAAAATATATGTAGTAATGACTTTGAAAGAATTAAATGAACGGTATTGAGTGTATTTTGTCATAATTAGTGTATTAATTCTTGAGCTATGGCCAAAAATGGTTAAATGAGGTCACAGTAACCTTTGACCACCAAATTCTAATCAGATCATCCTTGAGTCCAAGTGGACGTTTGTGTCAGATGTAATTAAATTCCCTCCAGGCGTTCCTGTGATATTGCATTTGCAAACAACCTGAAAACATGATGCCTCAGGCCACGGCTGGTGCCTGTGTAGAGGCAAGTTGTGACACCACAGTGTTCTGCATTTGCCCTGCAATTTTGAAAATAGGTAATCGCACACTGCCTCCAGCAGATGGCACTCATGTGACAAAAACCAGACAAATGGAAGGCACCTTCATTATTACTCATGGGACAAATGGCAGAAACAATCTGATCAATTTAATGAACCATCAAACATTATTATTCGCAGTCAGCAGCAGTGGCTCTGCTTCTCTAAGGTAAAATATAATAAACTACTTTAAAATCAGTTTGCTCAGTTTGCTAAGAGGCTACAATAATTTAAAAGTAACTTCATAGGATTTAACATTTCTTATAAAATAAGATTGTTACTCAATATATAAACTCTCATGTGCTTTTTACAAATGCCTGTGTAACATCAATTTAGGACACAATACCTAGATTAAAATAATTACATGTACAAAATAACCTAGATCTATCTCACGAATCACTCATTATCAGAACTTATTGATTGGTATTGATTTTACCTGCACCAATCACCCTTTCGATACATATGTACGAGGGGTCTATCTCTTTAGCAAATTCCTCCACAGCCTGAGTGGGGTCTTCATACGTATCTGGATCCACGTAGGTCTTTATCCCAGAAAATGGGACTGGAAGACAAGAAGCAGAACATACAGTGTGATATTTTGCATATTATTTTGGAGTAGAACACACAAACTGCAGCACTGTGGCAAATGCATGAGATTTAATGACAGCATGGAATCACAACATTGGAGTATATTCAAGACACCTTACATATGCGGCATATGCAGGGAGGGCATTGTTGACTCTATTGTTAGACTTACAGACACACACACTGTTAGCTATTCACAGTAGAGTTAGATCAGATTTATAATTTACAGATGGAAATATTGGCACTGATGTCTTAAAAAGCATTTCAAAACATGTACAGATCACATGCTTTTCCTACATATGACATATATATGTTTTATATCCTTACATCACTTTTTTCTGTGTTTTGTCATTCAAAGTTTTTATTTTAATTTATCTAACAACAAATATTTGTTTGCATAAAGAAGTAACTGGACGATTCTATAGGCCTGCTGTAAATTCTGTTATACTGAAACATATAACTTCCAATTTTTGCTGAGATTGTGCCAGAAAAGTTGATTCTTGTTTCAAATACAGTATATATTATTACAGCATGAGTTCATAATAGTTGGTGTATTTGCTTCTGTTGTACTGTGAGGTTTCAGAAAAGAGAAAGAGCTGAGAAAATGCCCCAGAGCACTGTGTATAAAAACACTCCAGGCAGCCAGACTTCAGCACCCTCCTCTCTGGCTGAGGCTGAGGCTGAGGACGCTGCTGCAGTGAGCGCTGTGCATTATGACTGGCACAAATGATAACTTGAAGCAGCCCCTGGTAGACCTCGTACAGATGAGCTGGGGAGTAAATGTATTTTATGGCTGTGTCAGCTCATATTGTGCAGGGTTGAAGGCTTTGTCTGAGATAGATTCCATTTTGGAGTCTACACTCCTACCTCTGTCTCCAGGGTGTCTAGGCTCAGCTCTGTAATAGAACAAGAGTTTTCTACCAGTTTGTTGAGCCTGCTGGCTTCTGCCCCCCCCCCCCCGCCTGGGGTGATGGCTCCCCAGCACACAACAACAAAGAACAAACAAAACTGTGGAAGGCAAGGATTATAACTATTCAAATAATTGTCATAATATTTGATGAGAAGGCTCATAAATGCATATTTGTTCTTTGTCAAGCAGCATTAGTGAAACTAGACTGTGGTGATATACAAAATTGAAGTGACGTTAAATTGTGAGCAGATAACTGCAGCACAACAAGACAGATAGCATCAAGACACAGACAAGCAGTTTCATACAAACAGTAATAATGGTGTAATGCACAGTAATCTGTGTGTGTGTTAGTGTGTGTGTGTGTGTGTGTGTGTGTGTGTGTGTGTGTGTGTGTGTGTGTGTGTGTGTGTGGATGAATTGGTATGTCAGCATGTTACGGTATTTTATTCACACAAATCAAGCCCACAGATGATAGAATGGGAGCCCCTGCAGGCCTCGGATCGAATCCTACAAGAGTTCTCTCTGAACTGTCTTAGTAAATGAAAGAACACTATTTTGTTCCCCAACAATGATACACTGCTCCTATGGGGCAATCAATGACCATGTTTTTATCTGTGATTGTAGCACCACACTTAGGTCAACTGTGAACAGCGGTTACCAGAGTTTTGTCAAAATCCAGTATTGGGTGTTTGAGATCATGCGGTGGACGGGTGAAAACATTTAGCACTGAAAAAGGGCCAATTTGTTATTTTTGAAAATATCAGAATATAGTGTGAAGGTGCTTCAAATCTAAGCTTAAATAAAAAAAAATTAATAAAAAATTATGACAAAGGAAGTGAGAAACAAATTCTAAATTAAAAAAAATTACAAGTCAGAGGAAAACTGTGACCATATAAATTGTGTCATAACTAAGCTAAGCTGTAGAAAGCCATTTAAAAAACAAACACAGACACAATGAAAATTATGTACACTACCATGTCCACTGTGGAAGCGAGTCCTCCTCTTCTCCTCTGACTTCATCCTGGCTTTAATGTACCCTTGACACCTGTACAGGTGGAACAGATTACCACAGAGTAAGAATCACCTTCAGCACCACATGAAACAGCAGTACATCCCAGCCTTTTTGTATGTTTAAGTTATTTGGCATTGGGTGGCGCTGCAAATTCCCAGAAGGGCAATAAATGTTTCATTCATTCATTCATTCACCAATATTAACATCAGCAGAAAACAAGTATGACATCTAAAAGACTAACTGCTTTCAAGACAAAGGGTGGAAAAGTGAACATTTATTCTGACAGCTGAAACTGCTTAAAAACTGCTTTTGCCACGAGGTACCACTAGGCATCTGCATGTACTGCCAATTCATCAATCTTTTGGTTTGCAAAGACGTCTCTGCTGAAAAAAAATAACAGCCATTTTCCTCTTTTCTATAACTCATCTTTTTAGAGCATTTTTTTTTGTTCTTGCCTTTATGTAGTTCTTTTTATTTTCTTCCAATTTTCCACTTTTATCATATTCACAGTCCCACAAATTCAAGGCTTTCAAGGCTCAGCCTCCGTAGAGAAGGAGAGTTGGGACAAAAGTAGCAATCAAACACTAGTATTCAACGAAAAGAACAATCTGCATCCTCCACGGGAAAAAAACATACAGAAGGTGGTTGCCATTTAAAAAGGGATTGAAAAGAGGATTAGTATGCGCTAACACTTTGCAGCTTTTCACTTTAGGAGTATTTATTCATTTAAAAAATTGTTTATAAGTCGCTCATATCAAAACCCAGGTCAAAGAGAAATTGGAGATAAAGCAGGTGTTGCTAGTTTCACATACTGTAGTCTCTGGATCTGGTGTTATCCTTTATGCCCATTCAAAACACATGAGAAGGCTCAACAATACAAGAAGGTCATCCACATGAATGTAGTGCACTTAGTTTTTAATTGTAGGCCAGGAGGAAGTTTCTGATGGATTTCTGGGTAGCCGTGATGTAGACTCACCTACACGGTAATATTGCCTCTAATGCTGTACATTATATTTTAGGCCAAAATGAAGATAGGGATTGTTAAAATTTAGACTGAATAAATCCCATGGACAGCGGAAAAGGCCAAAACAGTGACATAATAGTTCAGCTGGGAAAGAAATTCAGCCCTGTGTGGTGCTTGGATTCTGCCAATTTAAGGGTTACAAGGAGGAGAAGACGGAACAATCTACCTTTCCTTCTGAATGTCTCCCGGTGGTAGACTTACTCACTGGAACATTCACACGGCGGCATGCAAACCCAAAATACCAGGCACATAGAGACTAAAGGGACAGCGAAAATGACTACACGAGACTGAGCGTGATTGACCAGCATGATGTTGACAGATGCAGTAGGCTAACTAAAGTTACGCTGTTATTATAGTTTGACTATAAACAATATTTTAGACTTTATTTGACTCTCCATAAAATAGGATTTAAAAGGGTAATATAGTTGACCTTAGTTTTCCCTACGTCAGTCACATTACACTTGCATTTCTAAACTAATGTGTTGCACACTGTTAGTGCTGTAGGGGAACGGAAAAGAGGCATTGAGACAAGGACTTTACATAGAAATCAGTCCAAGAAAGTCAAAGGAAGTCTTTTTTTCCAAGTTGCACTACAATCTGTTCACATGTTGGCAATAAAAAAAAGTGATTAATTCATGTAAATAGCTTTTACATATAGTACCCTTAAGGTTAATAAAACTCACAAATTGAGTGGAACAGGTAGCTTTATGTAGGAATTTAGGGTTGTCGATTATGCTAATGATCAAATACCATGAGCATAAAGCCCAGTGTCTGCCCTTTTTTTTTCTATGAAAAAACATTGCTTTCATTTCTGAGGTCAGATATTTTCAGCATGAGGTTTGCAAATTGTGTGATCAAAGATTATCACTTCAGCTTGTATCACAATTAAAAATCCAGACAAAGTATGTCCAGATTCAGGGCTATTTTTCATTTCATTTTCATTTTTCATTGTTTATTAATAAATGCCACTAATGGTAAAATCCTGTGAACCAGAGGCAGACTGAAGACAACAGACTGAACTAACCTGGAGAAGTTAATGGAATGGAGCAAACTGCTGGTACATGCATTACATGCTGAGTAATTAGGCAGAAAATTGGCTCAGCCATTTGGAAAATAAGAGTGTCTGCTGGGTGGCAAAAAGGAGTCCATTAACAGCTTTCTGGTTGTAGCGTCACTCTGGAGATTATGAGAAGAAGCACAGCGGTGTGTGTGTGTGTGTGTGTGTGTGTGTGTGTGTGTGTGTGTGTGTGTGTGCGTGTGTGCATGTGTGCATGTGTGGTGTTAACGACAAGCCTGCATCAAAGAGACGCAGGGGGTGTCTTACCGTCCAGTAATGAGGAGGAACAGGGTAAGGATGACCAACAGGGAAAAGCCTCCCACAGATGCTGTGACGACCACCAGAACCTGACCCTGATCAGCGATATCAGGATCTGAGGAAAGTAAGAACAGAGCAAAGACTAATCAGTACCTGTTAAGATGAGCAACTCTCTCACTATGCCCAAACCAGAGAACTGACACATTACTTGATTATACCAAGCTGTCGCAATTTACGGAACACAATGAACACTTCAGAAATGGTATTCAGTTTCTGTGTTGCTAAATTAAACTTTCTCCACATTCATCACTATTGAAAACGCAGTCGAAGGCTCTTAATGTATTCTGTCCTGATGCTCGCCCAGGTTCTCTGTCTTAAACATATCTATGAACAGTGCAACCACAGTTTAATCATCGAAAAAGTAAATTTAAAAGTCTTAGAACTGTTCTGCTTCTGCTCTATACTCAGCATCTAATTCAGATAAAACAGATTAAGACACACATGTTGGAGTTCACTGAAAAAAACTAGCTGCACAGTCACATAAATCTATTTAAATCCCTTTTCCATCAGTATGTTGGAAATGGACTTTTGCCTGAACTTTCTGACGAGAGCCCCTTGTGACTCAACTCAACTATGATTAGATGGTGTGTCTGGCGCGTGATGTCTCTGGCAAATATTAGCCTATTATTATCTTTAGCACTGTATATTTATTTCCAACAAAAAGAGGCAGAGGTCAGAAATATTTGCTGATATGTCCCTGAATGGACGTCTCAGTGATTAAGCCCCTGTACATGTCTACAGTATATGTTTCATTCAAGTAATCTCCGTCGAATTTCACATATTTGTCCGGTGTTCCAAAGTGCCATTTATTTTGATGAGTCCTTAAACATTATGTTCTCCAACTGTTAGCATAAAGTAAAGAAATGTGAAAATGGTCTAAATCACTGAGCTGTGTGTGATGTGAAGCTTTGTGAGCGTGTGCGTTGAATGGGTTGAATAAGGTGAGGGAAAAGATGGCACATATGTAGAAGCACAATTCAAGTATATAAATGGTCTTAAATCAGAAGTATTGGCATATTGGGGTATGCGAATGTGAAATCTACATATTCATCACTAAAAGGGTGTGTTTCGTAGGCGGCTGTGCATTCCTGCATATTTCAGGATTAGAATCAGCAGAGCGTTATACATTCACGATAACTGTAATAAGCACAACTGCAGAGGCTGAATCAGAAACGTACAGGGCTTATAAACATTTAAATAAATGGCTCATGGTTGAAGAACCACTGATGAGTTTCGCAGATCCTTAGTAAAGAATGAACATAAAATGTCCTCCAGGGATTTTATAGGGTTGTTTATCAACACAGATGACTCCACGTCTGTGGCTTTTAAAACTCCCTTCTTCTCCTGTGCATTGTTTTAAAATTAAACTCCATATCATTGAGATTTCAACACAAATCTAACTGACTGAATGACTTAATATTGGTGTCATTCCTCCCAAAAACGTAACCAATATAGGCACAAACAAACCCACAATTCCTTCATGCCCACTCCTTCACAGTCGTACCCTCAGCTGCAGTAGCAAACTCAAAGTTGGGGCTGTAAGCTGTGTAGCCAGCAGCAGTGCGAGCGCGCACGTGGAAGACATAGACAGTGGAGGGTCTGAGGCCTGTTACCACCACGCTGGGGGTTTTGGTCCGTGTCGATGAGTAGCTCAGCTGCTCTTGCTCCTAGATAAGCAGAAACAGAAACAGATTTTCCAGAGATGATAAACAAAAGTACCGGCAAAACAGTTTTTGCATAAACCTGTTATCACAGCAACGTTTGAACAAAACACATAATTTCTTTATCCTATTAACTACCAGAGCAGATGGTGAGCAAAGCAGAGATAGTAATTCAGCTGTACACTTACATTTGGGTTTCTGTATGTTAACGATGCAAATTGCTCTGTGAGCAGTAATTGTTCTGTGTGTATGTGTGCATCACTCTTGATGCTTTTCAGTGCTAAAATGACTGTAATACAAATCTCTGTTACCACTTGCTATCAGCTTGCATGGTACATAAACATGGTCTAAAAAAATGACTTTACCTTCTCATAGTATTTGACCTCATAGTCCACTATGTCTGAAGGAGGCGGTTCCACTTCTGACCAGGAGAGGGCGATGCTGTTTTGAGAGGCCCAGTCTTTTCTGACTACACCCACCAGAGCAGGACCTGAAGATGCAGTCAAAGAGTGCAGAGATTTGAGTCAAACTGTGAGGAGTGGCCTGTCTAGAGGAAAGTTCAACAACAACAACAACAAAATTCCACGTCTTTCCAGACCATTTCTAGATACGTTGATGCACTGGTATAAATCTCCACACACTGGCAATTTTATGAAACTTCTAAAAAAAAAGAAAAAAAAAAAAAAAAGATGTGACCTTATTTGACTCAGTGAGTAACTGGTGGATGTACAAAGAGTTAGCTTACTGAAATGAATATGTGCCAAAGAGTGAATGTTGACATGTAAGTATATGGATTGGAAGAAACATAAGCAAGAAAAATGGCAAGTTTGTAGCAGGACTGAGCAACTCAGAGTCACTGAGTTCGGAGACATGACTACAAAACACATTTCAACAGCATCTTCAGTCATCATCTGAAAGATATCAACATTGAACAAAGTAGCACAGAAATATGCAAAGGGAAAGTCGGGCCAAAAAACAACCGTTCTACTGTCCAGCTCCAGTATGATGTGCAGCCTCAAACATTCCTGTTAACCAAACCACTAGACCCACAGCAACTGTTTATCAAGTTTGCCATTACTGCTGAATTTGGGGGAATATTTTACACAAGGTTGCTGAGGAGACATAAAATCACCTAGCAGAGATTCAAATATTTACCATCAATTATTCATAAAGCCTGCGCTTGAGCAGATTTGACAAACTAATAGATCCAGTCCCTCTGTTGTTGAGTGTGCTGGTTGGGCGATCATTGTTGGAATACAAATTCAGAACCAGATCGACGTCTTAAACTGTCCTCGTGCTCAGATAAGCAGATAACCTACTACACAAAAAGGTGACGCGTCACTGCATTAAGTCGGACGTACTGGGGGTGCAGATGCAACTTTCACATCTTGTCACGAAGCCGGGATTTTCTAGCAGCAGCTCGGCCCAGACACGACACTTCACAGTCCGGCAGCTCAATCATTTCAACTTGTATTAAAACAAAAAAAGACCAGAGAGAAAAAATGGTGCACACAGGAGGCAAGAGTTTGATGCTGACTCCTGCAAAAATGCATACTCGAGGTGACAAATATGTAAATCTAAGGTGTCCAACTTTCACATTAAAATGCAAAAGTTACTCTTCCTGACTCAAGTCTGCCTGAACATGCATTTCTTTAAGCATCTAAAACTTAAAATCATGTCTAATCTAAGACATATAGACAATAAAACCTGACCACTGTGTTTATACACATTCCACAACTCTCCAAAACTCAAAAATTAAGATTTTCCATTTCAACATTTTATGGGTTACCAAAGTAAAGAAAGATCATCATAAGAGTGTCAGTAATCATTCGAGAAAATCAAAATGCATCCTCAACATAGGACAGGATCTTAGTCACCGGACTGTGCTGTCTAAAGAATTTGCAGAGCCAGATCATACACCTGCTGTCAGACATGTTCTTCCAGGTAACACGTGCCCTTTCTATCCTGTTAGCAGGTGGTGCCTGAGCTTCACAGAGCGCCCAAAGATGTTGTGGAAATATCTCAGGCCTCTCAGTCCGGCTGCCTGCTGCCATTTAAATGGCAAACAGCAAACACACCGACGAGAATATACATGCACGTATTGACACAACTAAATGAACCAAATGTCATCTGTGCCATACTTAAAATTACTGTTTTAGCATAATAATGAGCAGTGCTCTGTCTGCTGCACTCATTATTACAAGGTGCTCAATTCTAAATGCCAGTTACTTCAAACAAATCTTTCAGCAGGTGAAACATATCACAGGTAGCTGAAAGTATTGCAGATTTAGCTGTGTGTAAGTTATTGTTTCTCTCTGACTGATGTATAATCGTTCTGCTAATACGATATATATATGTGTACATTGTAATTCGAAAGAATAGCAAATAAAAAGGTGCACAGTAAGGCTGCAGCCAACAAAAATTCTCACAATTAATAAATCCGGCAATTATTTTCTTCGATATACCGATTCATTTTTAGTCTAGAAAACGTCAGATATTGGTGCAAAATGCCAATCAAAGTTTCCTAAAGCCCAAACTGACATCTTGAAATTACACCTTAGCACCTTTCCAAAACCCAAAGCTATTCATCTGCTTTCTTTATAAATTGCTTGACCAAATGACTTAAACAGTTCTAACAATGTCAGAATAGTGGCTGATTCATTTTCATCTGTAGTGCACAGTATTAACAAGTAGAGAAACATCAGTAGCTATCCACTGCATCCAAGCAAAAGACACACAAAAAACCTGAAGCGAACATCGATTGCTCTGAACGAGCAGCTCCAACATACAGTACATATCATGTGCAAGACCAGCAGAAATAGAGTCTAAATCGAGTGCAAACCTTAACATTTGGACCATGAGTACATGTGTTATGGCTTATCCTCAAAATTTGCTTTGACTACACTCCAAAATTTAAATGAGTATGTAAATTTGTAACAGTATTTTCTTGTCATTTGATGGAATCTGTTAAATTGTATCTAAACAACAATGGTGCCCATAAATGTCATATTCAAATAAGCAATGAAGATATTTTTCAGTTGGCATCAATGCAACCAGGCAGATAAATATGCATAACCCACTTAAGAGCATAAGAACATCTGTGAGAATCACATTACTGGAGGGGATTTCTGTCTCCAACCCTACAGTATGTAATGTTATGTATCCATCACCATGCATGTGTGTGTGTGTGTGTGTGTGTGTGTGTGTGTGTGTGTGTGTGTGTGTGTGTGTGTGCACGCGCTTTCATCTCTGTGAGAACCAACTGAAGTTTTAAACTTTCTCTCTAGGTGAGGAAACTCCCTAAAAAACTCTTATGCAAGAAGCTATTTCAGCCTCAGGATAAATCAATGTGCTATTTAGATACCTACTGCTATGGATGAGTGGCTCAAAGAGAACAATTATGGTCATTACAGTTTAATCACAATCCACACAGCTAAAGATAATTGAGAATCTATAAGCTCTAGTTGGTTTTATTGGCAACATGTAAAAATAGGTTAACCCTCAACTTTATGTGCTCCAACAGATAAGGAAAGGACAGAGGGGGGAAAGAAGAGAGAGAGAGAGAGAGAGAGAGAGAGAGAGAGAGAGAGAGAGAGAGAGAGAGAGGAGTGAACAGGGAGAGCTGTAAAGAAATCCCACGAGGTTGCATCTCCCCAGCATCAGAGCATATAAATAGAAGTCAGCCTTATTCCCAGAGCAAGGGAGATGAAAACAGAAGAGATTCCACTGGAGGAAAGGGGGAATAGAGCAAAGTAAAAGAGAGAAAACCTCTTGAATCAGGACACCGCGAAACACTGGGAAATGTTCACACATGGATTTAGCATGTGAGAACTTGGCACAGCCATTGTTGTTACTGTAAGAGTAAAAGACATAATAGGATGTTTTAAACAACTGGACCAAACACACAGCAGCAGTCCACACCTTCAAAAAACCAAACCCTGCAGATTCACTGCATGGCACATGAACATGAGGATTCCAGTACCAATAATGACAGCTCAAAAAACTCCATGTCATGGGCAGCCACAGACGCCACAGGCCCAACAACCACACAGTGGCTAAGTGTCAGATAAGGAGGCTATGGCGTTATACATTTTGCCATCCCATAATGATCCCACAATGATCCCATAATGATGTCATTACGGTGGTGAACTCAGTGTACGTTTAAAGCTATAATCACACTACGTACCGAAGGCTTTACATGTACAAATATGGATGACTTAAAAACCGACTTATTGCACTGTTTGCACCTTTGGGAAAACATTAGCCAAATAATACCAACAAGGAGTCAGACGACAACACAAAAGTGCCACTGAAACCTATTACCAAGTAATTAACAGCTATAATTACTAATAATTAACTGAGTTTAAAAACTAGTACAATAAACACAATCTGTAGTAGTAGAGCAGTGGAGTCTGGAATGAACAGAAAGACGCCTGAGCACGCCTCTGTAGGGATTTAACCATGTAAACCAGCAGCTATTTGATTTCAATTATCTCAGCAAAGGTTCAACGCATCATTACATCTCACATTTTATGAATGATTTGATTGGATTAGATATGTAATTCAATTCATTTATGTTCCTCCAGGCTCCAGACATCTGTACCGCCGGCAAAAACTTTACAAGCGCTCAACTTTCAAGGGCTCCATAGACCACACTTTCCGCCTCTGCTAGGACACAATATTTCCTTTTTACTTTTAACACAGAGCGAGTTCATCTTTGTCGCTGCCTCTCTGCTCCTGTTGTAGGAGCGCATTTTATCCTCTGTGTGGCAAAGACCTTACACAAATTTACACTGATTTCTCTGTGCCTCTTCACAAAGCACTGCAGTGAACTTTGTGGGAGGAATCTTCAGCGAGAAACGCTCCGCTGAGCAATAACTACAGTGTATTTGGAGCAGAGTGCAGTTCACCGTTCATGAGCACAGAGATCATCCTGCTCACTCACTCCTGCTTTGCATTGCTGCCTTGAGAGGTGTTAGGACGGCAGCCGACCTTAACCTACATCGTGATTCACAAAGTGTGGAGGAGTGAAAACACACACACACACACACACACACAGAATCCACGAGATCTGCTAAGATCTTAAAACGCCAAATCTGAATGATAATTCATCCAGTATCATCGGAGGCAGTGAACACTCCATTCTGCTCAAAGACACAGTGATCATAAATCTTGCTTAACTGAGCATTATAACTTATCAAAGTTAGACAAGCACACAGGCAACGGGGAAGAGAAATTATTAGTAATTCTGATTAATAGGTTTAGCATAATTAAAAACATAATGAGGCATTAATGTGCAATTTATAAACAGATAGCATGCCAACAGAAAATAAATCTTCTCTCTCCGCTTCTCACCAAAAAATCCGGTTGATTGCTAATTCTGCTTTTGATTGGCTATTATTCCATCACTGACATAATATCACAGTCCACTGCATGAATCACCTCGCAGCATCCGCATAATTGGCAGCAAGCCTGTCCATCCCGAGTCCATCCAAACAGAGGTTTTGACAAGCACAGATCTACAACAAGCATTTCTCTCAACCCGATGAATATTCAACCTCATTTGAATTTAAAGTAAGTTTTCAAGTGCTTGAGAAATGTTTCTGCATTTAGCCAGCCATATAATGGTTGGAATAGTTTAAATAGATTTTCTTTTTAACCCTTCCTGGAAGATGTTTGAATATATATACAGTATATATATATATATATATATATATATCAAATGTCATGTTAATGTTAACTGTTCATTTACCTTTTTTTTAAAGAATTTAGATCATGCTTGATACTGCGAATTATATGTGGACTGAACTGCAAATTATGAGCCAAGGAAAACTGCATACAAACAGTATGAATGGCGTACAGTGTGCAAACTTAGAGAGCAGTACCTTCCTTTTCATATCATCTCTTATATAAAATGTGTGGAACAGTTACATAACCGCAAACAAAGGATCAGGATCATTCTATCTTCTATCAAAGTGCAAAATTAAAGTATGTATTATTTTACTCTCTCTGATGGATATAGAAAATCCAAGAAAGGTGTTATCTCTTGTTTTAAGGAAGCAGAAAGAGAAGAAAAACATAGATGTGTGTGGGAGACAGAAGAAACAAGAGACAGAGGTGGGAAATGACTAACAGGACCATATACAAGGCTGTAGGTGGTACATGGTTGAAGCAAATGTGTGTGTAAATGTCATGTGTGCATGGATTTGTTTGCCTGCTTGTTTGCATGCATGCCTGGCTGCGTGTGCATACAGTATGTCTACTGAGGAAAGGCAGTTTGACAAGTTAATCCACTCTAAACATCCTTGGGGAAACATCCCCACAGGCTGTTTCTCCTCCTCTACAGAGATTATTTTGCATTCCAACTTCCTCCCATCAGTCTAGCTGCCTTTGCCAGAGAGATGGGTGACACATATACACCTGACATCTGCTTTCCATGGAGTGATGACAGCCTATCAGCATAACATTTAATTTCTCAAAATCACTCTTTAGTACAATATGCTAGGAGACAATGAGCGCCAAGAAATGACTGTTGAAGTTATTATCGTTCTTGAATGATTCAAGACCATTATGTTGAAGTTATTATCGTTGAGACCACATTATACTCACTCACCAACCACGCACTCTATATTGCCTGAAAAACTGATTGAAGCATTGACACAACTAAACTAAAAGCCAATAACTGCACGATGGTTGGTAGGGAATGATGATAAATTAATAAGAAAATTGTAATATTTATGCATTACACTTCAAAGTCTGCCATTTATAAACACAGTGGGAGCATTTGCACTGTCTGAATACTTGACTATGAAATGACAGTTTTATTCCCACTCAGTCTCGGTTGCTTGCTGGCACTTAAACAGACGACACACTCCACTGCGTCATTCTCATCTAGCATCTTACTGTTGGATTCTACCTTCCGCCTTTGTGTGGTGCTGTACACCTGGGCACAGTTTTTTTTTTTTTTTAAATTGGCTCACAGCTAAACAGACTAATAATCGTACTGATTATGAGTAATATTCTGAGTCGACTGGCTTGTCTGCCACTTTGATCCAGACTTGGTCCAAAATGGAGACTTGGGAATTCAGACTAGGCGTCTTTAAGACACTTTGTTCCTGCCATCTGTTGTACAAGTAATCGGACAAACAGGCCATCTGTAAACCCACAGATTGGCTTTGAGACAGCATGGTGTACGTCTTGTTGTTTCTAAACCTGAAAAAGTGGAAAACATGATAAACTGGTGTATGATATATATATATATATATATATTGTTGACACTTCCCAAATCTTTTAATCTTTCCATAAATTTTTCAGATATGTTTCTGGTGACAAATGGTACACCGTGACAATCTTTGTGCTAATACAATTATGGCAGCCTATCATTACACACAAATGTGATTGAGCACAGATATACCCACAATTCCCTTCTTTTTTACATCTGAGCCACTGATGACTAATGAGCGTCAGTCTTGTTCTCATCAGAATTTCAACTCACTACTGACTTGCTGCACATGCTGAAAGGGGAGAAAATGTGCACATACATCGCAGCATAATTTATTAATCCACTCTCTTTCCTTCCTTCATCTCAACCTTCTCCATCAATTATTCCATCAACATTCCTGCCCTTAAAATATAAGGGTCAGATTTCAGTCCCTGAACTTTAGATCTCTTATTTTTCCTAATGCAAGCCAGAGACAATGCTGCCTTCAGGGCTGCTAGCAGTGGTTGACCTCAGGTCAGCTGGGCTCTGCTAATTAGGACTAGGTTCAGGTCACAGTGGCTCTGTCAGCTATTCAAGGGTCAGAAATGTGCTTCACCTACTGACACATTAAGCTGGATGGAGAGACAGAGACTTTGAAAGAAGACACAGGGTACTCAGGAAGAAGAGAGGCAAATCCAGCTGCAGAATAAGATCCGAGCCTGTTAGTGTAGCACAGCTATTTTCATCTGCTCCGAGCTGCAACGCAAACACAGTATTCCTGATCTATGAATCAGGTATTATGCAACTACTGTATGTGCATATGCCATGCATAGCATGTAAAATTAATCTTTATTAATATTTAAGAGCTAAATATGGCTACCTGCATGTTAACCCTCAACAGCCTGTCCAGCAAAAGGAGAACAAATGGAATACATCAACCGCAGATGTCCTAGCAACTAGCAACTCCATTTTTAGGAACAAGTGTGCTACAGCCACTATGCATCAAGGTTATGGAATTTAACTATAAGTCTTGAGATACAGACGACAGCCATGTTACCGGTAATCACTACAAAGATTTGACTAAAACTAGTGCCTCACGTCTAGTGCAAAGATACTCTAACCAGTGCCCCAAAAGCTGTATGGTGGCTGCAGGAACAGAAACTACTAGAGATGTGCTGACTGTCCTGATTGTTTTTCCGCGTGATTTTTCATTCCAGTTTGGGGTTTGTGGTGACCACCTTATCAGTGCTCATGGAAGTTAGATAGTTAGTTGTGCCGGTTATTTTTTGGGCAGCGGCAAGATGAACTTGTGAACATGTAAAAGTCGAGGTAGTTTTTTCAATCTGCTCAAGTTTGTAAACTATTTTTTATCAATTTGGCTTGGCTCCCTGCCATCCCATGAACAGAATGGTCCACTGGGAAAATTCCCACCATTCCAGATGGCCATTTTGCCCATGCCAGCAGGATTAAGATGATGAATGTGTCACAACATGTTGTAACGTACCATGCACTATTTCAGCAAAATGTTTTGAATTTGATTTATATAATTACGAAATTCATGGCAACTTCAAATAGTGAAAACATTTCAAATGTGTTTTGAAGTAACAACTTAGTCAGTTAGTCAAATGAGACCCTGAAGCTCAATGTGAACTCTCTGTATTGCTTTTTTTGCCTGACCAACAGTCCAAAACCCAGAGCTTTTCAATTAAAGTGATGTAAAATATAAAAAACAGCAAAACCTCAGATTTGAGAAGGTGGAACCAAATGTTTGCCATTTTTGCTTGGTAAATCACTTATAAATGGGGAATAACCTTATCCAAGTCAAGAGACCATGTCAATATAAGTCAGTCCTATAATTCTGAGGGGAGGGAGGAACATCTGCTCATCATCATTGCCACAGTTGGATTTGAAGACAGTAAAACAAACAGAATTTGAAAGCTGCACTGCAGTGAACAAGAGCTCTGCAACTCACCAACTTGGTGCATATTGACGGTAACATTCGCCAGCGAGCGTACGGCCACACCTAGTCCAGTTACGCCATTCACAGCCTCTACATGGAAAGTGTAGTTGGCGTGCATTGCAAAATCTAGTATCGCCACAGAGGTACCAGTCAGACCAACCGGCCGTGGGATAAACCGCAGGTCTGGCCCACAGGGCTCACACTGTGTCACACCACCGTCGCCCTCACTTCCATCACAGCGCTGGCACAGGATGTTGTAAGTGATGTCCTTCCTGCCTCCTGTATCGCTTGGAGGCATCCACTGCAAGAAGAGAGCCGTGTCATTGATCAATGAGACCAGGTTCCTGGGAGGTGACGGAGGCCCTGAAGAGAGAAAAAGAAATAACTCATTGGTCACTTTCTAAGGTAGGTTTTCTTTTTAAAAAACTAATATTTATCAAATATGATTATATGATTGCATGATTCAAAATATAGTTTAATACATATAGAGAGGTTTGATTATTGACTGATTGAATAAAATAATGCACAGGACACATGATCTATGATTACTTGTGCCATCTCAGACGATGTAGGCCTCTAACAGTTCCTAGAGTTCACCAAAAATGATGAAATAAGCAGCAATAACACAACTTTTATTTCTTTTTACCATTATACACTTTGCAAAAATACCTAACAGGTTATTGCAAAAGTTTGAAACTATCATTATTAAGTATAACAGTAACATGCAAAAGAGTACCTCAGATCACATCACTCATCTAACCTTGAGGATGAAGCGAGAGTGGGACACGTGATTGCCAAAATCTGACAATTAATGGCCCTTTAGCAGCCAGTGAGCATAATTTGAATCTGCAGTACGTGTCTTCAGTTTGTAGCTACAGTAGGTGTGTGGGTGGCTGGCTTTCAACGCGTCTTGCAGTATTTCATGCCAACAGCTTGTGTCAGTTTCCTGGATAAAACTGCGGCAATTCTGTTTTTTTTTTTTTTTCAATTTTCACAACTGTACAAAGTAATCAGAGCTGAAGTTTTGAGTGTGTAGGTGTATGGGAGCTAAGCTTTCAGAGTGCCCCAAGTGTTTCATTCCAGCATGCTCCTTGTCAGTTTAATGGATACAGCTCCATGTCAGAATTTTTCATGTCCATGGATATGGAACATCATGAGAGATGTTTCTTTTGTAGTTGAGATAAATAAGTAAATAAATTAAACAAGAAAAATTTTGTAAAAAAAAAAAAAAAAAAAAAAAAAACAGGAGACAAAAAAATTACAGAATAAACAACTGACAAGCCATGGTGGTGGGGTCTTTGATAGCCCTGTAGAAGCCTTTATCGCAGTGACAGATAGTGGCAGCCTGGTCATGGCTGGAGCTGTGTGGAGGACACTTGGAACATTTAGTGTTCCCAGCATATGCCTTGAAGAAGCCAGGCCTACAAGCTGGAGACGGGGGGAGACAGAGGAGGAGGGAACTTACACAAGGTTAATGTTCCTCATGCAACTGCACTTCCATCAGCACACATTTCCATCAGCATTTAATTCAAAGCTCCAGCTGCTTCTCTCCTCACCTGTGGTCTGACCTTATTTCCCAAGGAGCTATGGATCACTGTCACCTGCTTATTAGCTCACTAAGCCACATGCTTATGCTCCTGCCCATTGTCCACTTTAACAAATGGCACACACCTGTGATAAACCTTTTCAGAATAAAGACTGGTGAACTCACAAATACATAAATGTGTTTTGAAATAAACACATTACAAACTCTTATTAGGCCAACGAAGGCTTTGTACTAAAGTTTACAGGCACATGCTAGCAGACCCCCCACATCACCACAATTAATTTTTTTCATTGTGGGATAGATGTCATATTAAATAGACTAAATAGCAGACAGTTGTTTATGTTATCATTGCATATTAAGTTAACATACAATATTAAGAAGTTGGGGAAGTTACTTCCACTTACAAATCCAGGTTAACTGATAAAGTCACCAATCACATTAGCTAAAGTTCTTTAGTAATACTTGGCAACTAGTAAATGGGCCCAATGTTAGTTCTTCTGTTACTCAAGCTCCACAAATGGTAGCTTCTAAAATCCCAAAAGCCACAGTCCAAAGAAAACGAAGACATTATGGTTTAATTAACGAGTAGCCTACCTTGCAAATACTACGGTGGCCCTGAGAGCTCAGTGCACAGCAGCTTAACACATGCAAAGACACAAACTCGCTGCAAATTCAGAAAACATCTTCATCAATTTGATAACGCGCTACAAATAGTCACAACACATGCAAATAAAAAAAACACGCTGCAAATTCAGTCCTACAACAAAACGGAAGTGTTTTGCAAGGGACACTAAAAACTGATGAACAAGTGCGTCCCAGCCAGGTTCATCGTTTAAAAAAAAAAGTTATTTTATGCCTTAATTCAGATAGAGGGATAGATAGAGAGAGGATGATATGGTGCAAAGGGCCAATGGTTGGACTCGAACCCGCGCTGCTCCGGTTAGACTTAGGCCTGCGACTTCATGGTTGCATTTGAAATTTTTAACTACTGGTGGTGATGAAAAATTAGGGTATTACCAAAACCCTTCATCCTGTGGGAATCATAAATGTCCGTATAAAATTAAGCTAAATACACACATCCAATGGTTAAGATATTGCCCTCTACACCAAAGTGGCTAAAAACACTGTTTTAGATTGTAGAGATTCTGGTTTCTAAAGATAACGCTGCAGCTGTACAACATAGTTTTATCATTGGATATAACAATAACCTTAAACCACTAAAACAGCTTCAAAGAAATGCTGGAATAAGAGTACCATGTATATTGTTTTACAATGCAATAAAAAATACGTATGTTTAAGGCTGTAAAACTTTTCAGGAGTTTAGGAGGTAAATTTAGGATGAAAAACGAAATGAATAAATGGATGCTATATATAATATTTAAGTTATGGAAAAGTCTTTGGAGCCTATTTGTTGTAATCAGCAGGTTTAATAGACTCCCCACTTTCAGATTACCCTGGATACACACAGGGGAAAGTTTGTATTTTTTGTCAGGCAGGTAAAAAATAAGAGATTAACATACAAATAATGCATTATGAAATGCAATTAGGCTATACCCTGCTTTCAGTCTAAAACCTCCATCCACTCACATGGTCCATTCTGCCGACCTAAGTATTCTTCTGTATTCTGTCCTTACTTCGGTTCACTTTCCTACCTCATTACTTCCTCCAGTTCTCTCCCATTTTACCTTCCCATTTCTTTTTTTTCTCCATCAATTCAACCAACTCTCCTGTCCTTATCACTCCAGTTTTTCTCTAACTGTTCTGCACTGCCACAATTTTCAACTTCTTCTGATTTTCTTCATCTTTCTCCCAATATTTTCCTCTTCCTATCTCTCCTCCTGCTTTCCTCTCATTCGCTCTTTCCCTTCAGGCTTATCAGATGATGGCAAAACTATTGCAGATTGCCTCCTTCTCCCCAGACTTATCTCAGCAGAGAAAAAATAAAGCACTAATAGTGCAGTTATTTAATATTCTGGGAATCCCTGGATAATTTTATTGCAGAGTAATTTGTATGAGAATATATAATGTGGGTGGGGTAATAATTTCAAAATTAGCAAATAAATATGCTATCTATAAGACAGACGATGCAATGGTAAAGCAGAAAGGTAACATGCTAGGGAAATTTAATCAAGAGTTCATGGCAGATATAAGATTTTAATTTTAGCATTTCAATATTTCTTCCATAGTTACTTTAAGTAGGAGGCACAAAGATGTAATAATGAGGCAGTCATTTCTTTTCTCCCTCACACCATCAGCAACAGACCACATTACAAATCATTTGTTGTCTACAGTAATACATTATTGCCTCCACTGAGAAACATTTTAATCCTTCTGTTGATGTTAGGGTTACATATCAAAGAGTTGGAAGTTTCATACTGTGTCACATGAATGATGTCCAGCTGCTACCCAGTATCCAGTGCTGCACTTAGGACTCCTTGTAAAGGATTATTGTTACTGAGTGGATTATCCCGGTAAAATTAGCAAATTAAATTAAACTGCTCTTGGTGTGTATATTCATACAGTAATGGATATTCTGATTAAATAAGTTGCAAATACACTAAGTCCCTCAGACTGTGATGCACACCAAGTGATGCAGTGGCTTTAGTATCTACTTGTATTTCAGCTCAGGAGACCCCTAGAGAGTCTTGGTTGAATGAGGATTAGATTTATACCCAATGCTTGATTGTTGGATCTAATTGTTAGAATATTTAGAATCATATCATCAACAGTTAAGTTGCCCGAGTGTCCATAAATTATATATCAAGACATCTCAAGCATACCATAACCATAATCATCAGTTCACTTTTTGATAAAGAGCCAAAGGTAAGAAATACTAGTCAGTTAAACTAGTTATTGATATTTTGTTAATGTACAACACCAGTTAACTGTTACGTTTAAGATGTTACAAAGCCCCACTTGCACCCGGATGTTGTAAACAAGCAAGATGGAAAGTGGGACAGGTGACAACCAGTACAGTTTGGCAGTACTTTGACCTAGAAAAAGAAAATAAGGTTATATGTAGGCTGTGTCAGAAAAAAATGGCATTTAATCACTCAACTGGAGCAATATGTAACCACATTCAGCATACGTATGTGGACTTAACCTGCCAGGAGACAAGGCTGATGGTGGTAGCACTGCTAACATTAGCAAACCACTTGGCAAACCAATATGACATTGTTTACCTGCAGGCACTGTGAGCCCACTTCATTCCCAAACTTTTAAACTAGTCGACTAGTCTAAATTTAAATGACTGTTTAATTGACAAAGAAATTGGTCACATCGCTATGTATACACAAAAATTCAAGGTGAGAACACTGACTCCCATTGTGCATGTCGGTGAGAAACAGCCAATCACAGAGCTTAAAATTCTGCTATCTTAAAATCGCTTATTTTCTCCAAAAAACAGTCCAAAACTGAAAGATATTCAAGTTGAAATCATATAAAAGAGAAAAGCAGCAATTCCTCACATTTGCGAAGCTGAAACCAGCATTTTTGCTTGAGTAAACTTCAACAATTATTAGATTATTAAAATTGTTGCTAATTGATTTTTGGTCGAATGACTAATCAATTATCTGACTAATTGTTAGCCCATACAATTTTGCTTTCTATACGGCTATTTATTCATTTCTTGACCATTTTACATAGCTATTGCTTTAAATTGCAGACAACATGTAATTGAAAAAGAGAACGACAAGTGTGAATGAGAGATGACATGCAAGGTACAGTGAAAATCAAATATGCAAGATGGTAAGAAATACAAGGAAAAAACAATCTGCATAAACAGGTGGACATAGTTGAGTATAAGTAAAAGGGATGAGATGAAAGATAAACGCACAGACAAAAAGCATCGCCAAAATCGCGTCGCTGGTTAGCTCCTAATGAGAAGAGTAATTTGTCACCCAGCTTCCAATTTTAGAGGCACCTCATTCACTTGGATATTACTTTCCTCCTATGCTCACCTCCTGCCAAAGGCAACAAACACACACATTCATTTGAATTTCCAGCTGCTCCCTGCTCCCTGTTATGAGCTGGGAAGATCACCACCAAAAAGCAATTACAATACTCATACCACTATTTCCATCAAAAATTTTTTGAAAACACCCACACACACACACACACACACACATGCACACACAGACAGATAATGAGATCCAATTTGTTCACTATCAGTTGTTGGGCTTTTTGTCATGGAAGGCATTCTTATTCATGAAAGGAACAATATTGGCACAAAATATATATTCCCACTCAGAGCAGATACTGCTGTGCACACAAAACAAACAACAATCATGCAGAAAAAGTATGTTTCACCATCTAACAGCTTTAGAGCTTAAACTAAAGATGTTTTTTTTCATTATCAATTATTCTGCTGGTTATTTTTTCAACTAATCAATTAAACATTTGGCCTATAAAATGTAAGAACAAAGCGAAAATTTCTGTTATAATCCCCCCCCCCCAAGGAGAGGTGATCATCAGATGTTTTGTTTTATTCTTCCATCAGTCCAAACCCTAAAGAAATTCAATTAACTATCATATATATGAAAAAGAAAATCAGCACATTCTCATACTAAGCAGGAAACAGCAATACATGTTTGGCATTTTTACTTGATTAATCTAAATAAAAAATTCAATTCTTTTTCATTAATTTTCAACTAATCAAATAATTGACAATTGCAGCGTTAAATAGCTTAATTGTCTGTTTTTGATGGGACTGGCATGTTACCAGTCTTGATAATATATGGTATGGAGCCATAGCATGTGTTTGACACTTTTCAATCCCATTTAGCAGTGACTGTTACATAAAAAGTCACAGTCTAGTTCCTGACAGCTAAGTGACTAAAAGTAAACTCTTATTACTTAAACCTGCATTCATTGTTTTTTGGCCACTTGGAGGACAACGAACCATTATTGTATCATCAACTTATAAATGTAATATGCGTTCATTTGGACTTGTGTTTGTGTACACCTGACAAAGGAGAAAATAAACTCACTCTATAGCTCTGTATTAGTGTCCACCAACTCCTAGGTAAAGGAGTTGTATTCAGCAACTACTCGCTATCTTGATGTGTATGCTGTTTGGTGCTCTGCAGGTGGTCTGGTTTTTAGAGCATTTTGCTGCAAATAGCTGCCTGCCCGCTGAAAACACTGACTGATGAGTTGGGTGATATTTCTGTAAGGATCATCACTACAAGAGATTACACACAGTAATTAGATTCATAAAAATATTGACCAGAGCAAGAAACTTTTGCCTCAGGTTAGGCTTAAGATTTGAATAGATAACCTACAGGGGTTTAGTCCAAGAAAGCACATCGCCTGCACATTTCCAGGAATGTACTGACATGCCAGCTAAGAGATTCTGAGTTGTTTGGGTGCACAGAGTTGAACATTTTCTCTTGGCTTTACGTTGTCGGAAACAGATGGAGCCAGAGACTATGTTTACCTTGGTCTCTCAGCTTTGATATGCAGATGGGAAGTTCACAGAGAATGAGTGATGCTCTAGTCTGGCTGAGCTGCGTTAAAAGCAAGAGCAAACACAGTCCTTAATGGACACAAGAGGGGCACAGTGACTCAGATACAACTCAGACTATGTATTGATTTCCTCATTTCCTATTCCACTTTACCTGATTTTAAGGTCACAAGTTTGCACCTTGCCTCGCCTGATCAATCCTGCGTCTCCAGACAGCACAGGTCATCAGTGACTAAATATTTCCAATTTCTGGAGAACTCTTGACATGGATTGCCATGGGGAAAAGAGAAAAGAGAAAAGACTGATGGACTTTAGTGTGTGATTCTGAAAATGTGTGTCTGTTCGTTTGCTTCCCTTCCTCACTATTCATCTGTACAGTAAGAGGAGAAACTGAGCTGTGTTGTTATCAACTTCATGAAAAGTATGGGAGGTGTTTGCGGCAAAACTTGTCAGTCAAAAGGTTTTACTGAAACCAAAATATTTGAACATAGAAGATTTTTTTTCAGCTATTGAATGCAACCACTTAGCCTACTGGTGGGTTTTTTGGGTTTTATCTGCGGATCTGTTCTGATTCAAATGAAATTCAAAAAGACATCTCTGTTAGCTTCCCCCACAATTCACTGCCTCTTGAATATGATGCTGTGACGAAAGGATGTGGAACAAATAGCATTAGCACTATGATGTTGCCTTATCTAGGTCATGATATAACCAGCCTATCTCTGAGTAATCCTCTTGTGGTTGACACTGTATGAAAGGAATAGCATAATAAAGCACTCGATTGAGATGTCAAAACAGTCTGGCAGAATGCTATTGGGGTGGAAAGCAGTGTTTGATAAGCGCTGACGCCTTTGTTTAGGCAGCTGGGAGGGAAAGAAGGACGTGTTAGCGCAGAGCTTATATTTTGGAGTGTTGGGGTTTTCCCTATTCTCTCTCTCTCTCTCTCTCACTCTCTCTCTCTCTCTCTCCATTTCTCGCTCTCTCTCCCTCTTTTGCTCTTTCCCCATGCTGCCTCTCAGACAGCTTTGATCACAGTACCCTTTGAAGCAGTGTTCCAAAATGAAAACGAGGAGAAAGCAGAAGTCATCGCAAGTTCATGCCTAAACTTCCTGCAACTACTTGCAAAGTGCACATCTTCATCACAGCCTAAGCTCTGCAAGACCTATGGAAATTATTGATGAGAAAAAATAATTGGTCATAACTAATGAAAGCCATAAATCATTTATTACAAGGCCATAAGGTGTTGTTACGATTGATCACTTCTTCTAACCCTAATGAGTTTAAAGCCATGAAGTCCACAGCAGAACGTTCTTGGTAGTTATAACCTGACATCTTTGAACACAACAGTAACTACTGCACAGCAGAGCAACACAGCTTAGCTGTGTCTCTGGTTTCCATTACTCGTGATGCTACATTAGTATTTCAGAGAAGGGTGAATCTTACAGAAACAGCCATTTTGGGAAATATGCTTGTTTTCTATCAGACTCTCACTCAGATGATAAGATCGATACTAGTTACATGTCTGTACGTCCAGTGCAGTATATAACCCAGAGAAATGTTCAGCAGGCACAAAGACTGGACTCTTTCGAATGGGCTTATCTTGCCCTGTCAAAAGGAAAAGTATACTGTGTGACTCATATTTTAAAGTTTTATTTTAGAGCTGGAATAATTAGTCAATCACTTATTTTTCAGGCAAAAAAAGTGAAATATTCTCTCATTTCAACTTCTGAAATGTGAGGATTTGCTGCTTTTCTTTGTCATATGTGAACGTTAATGAAATGTCCTTGGGGCTTTGGACTGTTTGTTAGACAAAGCAATTAATTTGAAGACATCAAAGATGGCTCTGGGAAATTTGACATATTCACTTTTTTTAACTCTATACGAGACAATAAAAATCTAATTTGAAGATGAATCAATCATGAATATATTCATTAGTTTTATTCACATGTTGTATTTGGCCAACGTTTTGCATGCAGGAAGTCCCGCAGACTGTTGTGAGTTATTACCATGTATTCGATATAGTGACTGGCTCCACCATTCACCTAGGCAACTGTGTAAAAGTCTGTGTCTTGACCCTCATCAGTACTCTCATTAATTACCTGTCATGTCAATATGGTGCATTTACTTGTGTATGCTAAGGTGAGCGTTGTTGCAGAAATTATGGCAGTGTATTTCCACTGTGCTGTTGCAACCATTAAGTTACCAATGATTAACTCATTCCTAGTTTAGTATTACATATACACATACACAAACTAACATGTCTATAAGAGTAACAGGGTAGCTGTTTAGTAATTGGTAATTGATAGTGACAGGTTTTTGTTTATAAGAGATAACAGGTATTATTGTTCTAGTTTTATTTTTATGTTTTATTTCCAGAAACTACGATAAAGTATGTTAGAGTTCTGCCAACTAGTGTTGGGTGATAGGATGATATATACTGTGAGACAATATAAATTTGTCTTATACTGAAATAGCTGTCCTTTTAATATCACTGACTGGTATAGTGCTACAAACTGATGGGTTTATGGCAATATTAGATTTATAGTTGTTTAATTTGATTAGCTGAAAGCAGACATTCTGTCTGGTTATTTAATCCATCAGAGGTTTCAAAATTGATTTTCAAGGAAATGTACAATGTTGCAATATACTGCAGTATAAAATGACAGTTGTTGGTTTGAAGAATATCCAGCACATACGACTGAATAGACAAACACATCGTTTTCCAAGTGCCAAGTCGGTCACTGCTGCATGAGTTACTGACCCATTCATTTTAGCAGCTCCCAAGATCCCCTTGACACTGTTGCAGCTACATTACAATGGAGAGAAGCGACTACTGTCAGCTGAAGGGGATCAATAGGGAGTATAGATGTAGGACATATATGAGGGACACTGAGAGAGCGCTGCTCCTAAGCTGCCGTCTCATCAGTAATCTCTCCTGACTTCTGTGTTGTTTAACTATGTCTTTGAGATGATTGAGAGCAAGAGAGAAAAGATAAATAAAAAGCAGATAAAAGTGAAGAAGATAAAAAGGAAAATTACACCCGAGGAGCAAATAAAGGAGATATTACAGCCTGTCTTACATATCAGCTGTACTAATGACTGTTGGAGTTCTCTCTGTAATAACATGAGTAACCACATCACCACAGGGGTACTACATGAATTTCACCCCGACCAGCTGAGTCTTTCTGTAATTCTGCAAAAATGTAGTAAGTAACATGAAGCACACTTTAATTGTAATTATGCAGCGTGGCTCAATTTAGCTCCTGCCTTAATTACAACAGTAAATCTGAGCCTCATGAAAGAAAAAGAGAGTTGGAGGAGTTTTAGAAAAGACTAGGTGTGAGCTAAATTAGCTGTGAAACTAACAAATGAAGGCAATTAGCCAGCTAGCCCCCAGTCTGTCTGCACAGTCTAATTGAGAAACCAGGCCAATGACTATCTGGAACAACTCAACAGTTACTTTTTCTTAATCTGTTCTGCTGACAATGGGCCACATTTAGGCTATGCTGATTTGACAATAGAGCGGAGGCATCGCTAAAAAGCCTTTTGTGGTATTTATCAAAGGTTTTAAATTTGAGAGCTTTTATGTAAATGTTAAGTGGTTGAATATCTACCACAGGATGACATTTATCAAGGTAACATCAGACATAAACAGCACAAATCCAGAAACAGCTTGATATTACAAGAAAATACCTTCTCATTTGAACCACATGATTGATACTGAGAGATCTTTTTGAGAGCCATAGTAATGATTTTGAAACATCAGAAATCTCAGGGTGACACACACTAATCTGTTCATATTCACATTGTTTAGGGTCTCATAGCAGAAGAGGGTCACAATGAGAAACAGCTAAAGTGAGAATTAAGAAGGAGGAATGAAAAGAGAGGGAGGAAAAAAAGGGACCAGGAGGAGAAAGAAGGGGGAGTGAATGAAAAGCAAACGAAGTGGACAAGAGAGGAGAGGAGATGACAAGGGGAGGTGGAGCTGAAACGAAATGAAGAGATATGTGGATGGAAAGGATCAGACAAGGATGCAGGATCTTAGAAGGGGAGGAGGGGATAGCAGTTCTGTAAACTCCTGCAGACAACTGGGGAGGCCTTAGAGATTTGTTAATGTGATGCAACGCCTTCTCTTCTCTTCTCTTCTCTTCTCCCTATTTCTCTCTATTTGTTTCCTTCTCTGTATCTGTAGCTTAAGTCCGCTGTTGGTGAAGTGTACTGCTCTAAAATTAGCATAAAAACACACACACATGCGCACAAAAAAATCCAAAACAACTTCTCACCCCGGCAGTATCCATCCATCTCCTCATGGCCAATGCTACAGACACAGCGGCCCAATGGTACCAGCCAGTCTCCATCAGCACCACAGTACAATTTGGGTGTGTCCCTCTCCTCTGCATTCTCCACGCATGCACCCCTCACTTCCACCAGAGAGGATGAGTCCATATGTGGCACAGTGTCAGGAAATGCTGCCAGGTTCCTTAAAGTGGATGGGCAGCGTTTGTAGAAGACCTTATGTGGAAGAGAAAAACAGAAAGGTCAAGTACTTCTGGTCTTGTGAACGAAATAAAACTGACAAGTTCATGGCTGTAGTTCGCGCAAACATAATTCCCACCACCATGTTCACTGACCTTGACAGACACAAGAGCAATACAAGCTCCCACATCCTGGAAGGCCAAGTAGAAGCCCTTCTGTGTCACCGGTCCCACCTCCCTGACCTCCGTATTGAGGCGAAGCACGCGATCTCCAAGATCTGTCTGTGTAAAACTCTCATCTGCCGCTATGGTGTCCACCTTAAAAGGAACAACAAACACTTTATTAGTGCAGTTCATTGCTACCAGTAGTGTAACAGAAAGCTTTTTTTCTATGATACAGCTCCGATAACCAACCTTGGCATAGTCAATAGGCCGAAATCGTGTCCCTGCAGGGAGCGGTTCATCTGTCTGCAGATAAAAGAGGTTGAAGGTTTCCTTACAGGTGCCAGACACCCAAGGAATGGAGTTGCAGTCTCTCAGTGTGAAACGCAGCTCCACATATACCTGAGTTAAAGTATAGATAAATGAATAAACAAATGATCACAAGTTCATTTGACATTACAAATACAAGGTGATTAAACATTCAGCTACACATAACGCCTGACCATAAAAAACTGTTTGTTTTTTTTTTCAAAAAAATCTACAGTAAGAAGGATAAAGCATCCACAGTCACAGAAAACTTCCACAAAAAACTGTTAAAATAGATAGTGATAAAATGTAAAGGCTTTTGCTATTTTAAACTAAACAGGCAGGTTATTTGAAAATGTGATGGCTCTGGTGACGTCAGCCCAGCCAGACTCATAGGTTTTCAGTTTGCGATTCAGCTGGTGATGAGCACCACTCCAATCATTGTGTAAAAAAAGCAATCCTCCACCCTCTTTGATTTATCATGGCCGTTCTGTTTTGACTTTAATGGAAATCAGTCCCTCTCTATCAGAGTGAAGTATTGTTTTTTTGTCACTTTACAATACACCTGCCTGCCTTTTGTTTTTCCTTCCAGTATGCTACACAAGAGTTTCCATTCACTCCAGTCACTTTCCCAACCTTGAGGCAATGACACAACGAAGCTCTGCTTCAATACTACTTCATCTGATCCAAGTTTCAGGCAAAGATTTCTGAACTAGTACAGTATGTTTCTCAGGAAGTGTTGTAATGTGGTCCAGACCCTCTGAGCAGCCTGCCGCTGGATCCATCCAGACCGTAACCAGTTGTTCTGGTTTGGCTCCATTACATGGCAAACCTGGAAGGTGTGAATAGGTCTGTTCTGCTCATCCATCTCTGTGATAGCATCCCACTGTAAAAATACAGGAAGCAAATATGGGTACATTTGTAAATATCAAATGTCACAAATAGCAAACAATTGTGTTGTGTACACACTCGGTTATGGGTATTTTAAATCATTATGTACTAGAGTTCAAATTAATATGAAATATACTAATATGGATATTATGTTGGAATGATCTGGCTGTTCAACCCAAGCACCTTCTATTGCATGTGGTGAAACTTCATTTCTATAGAAACATGACATTTTAGAGACACCACGTTAGTTTCACCAATGTTTTCAAGCTGTTGCATCAGCCAGACTCTCATTTGTCTGCTCCGCTTTAACGGTGTGATGATAGAACTTCAAAAGCCCTAATATGTATTGACAGAACTTCTCCTGTGGCATTGAATGGGTAGCTGAGATTGTGTCAGTTACACTGCTGGACATGTAATTATATCTCAAGAGAATAAGATACATGGGAGATATGGTAGCAGTTTGGCTTGATTCTGTCCTGGAAAGGCCAGGGTAGAGAAATGTACAGCATGTAAAATACTGAAAAACTATTATTGTAAAAGGTACATATGTATGTATGTATGTATGTATGTATGTATTTATGTATTTATGTATGTATGTATGTACATATGACAATAAACTATTCTGCAAATAATTTTGAAAGAAAATATTATTTCATCTTTAGCCAATGTAATAAACTAGATTACATTTAAAATGGGATTTAAATGAGGGCAAAACTGTTGAGGTTGAGATGCTATGAGCACTTGAAAAAGAGTTAACATTTAGCACACACACTCACACAGATCTTCCTAGAGCAGTGGTTCTCATGGGGGTCACCAGGGGTTGCATGATTATTTTCGGGGGTTGCGGGATGGATAGGGATAAATATTGTTCTAGGATGATTTTTCCATTAAATCTTGCATGACAATGTTATGATGTAGTCATTATAAAACAGATTTGAGCCAGTGAGTGAAATTAATGTGTGTGAATCAGTGAGAGAGAAGTTGTCTCCTCCAGCTGGAGTAGCAGACTGACTGTGACACTACAGCACAGCGGCAGGTGCTAAACGTTAGCTAGCTTCTCTCAAAAAAAAAAGTCTGCCAGCTCTAGATGGGGACCAAGAAGAGATATGTGAAGGTGGGCCAACTCAAAGTAGCATTACAACGTCAAGTTCAACTGAAAAACGTAAGGGGCTGGCAGCTCCGACAGATTTGGTCTCCAACAAGCATCACAAGGTCAGTACACAAGGTTTGTGTGCGTCTGGTAGCTGTCATGTGTGATAACAAACCCTCGGATAAATGGAGCTGAGAAGTGTGTGTTTGCGGCAGAGGGTTGCTCAGTCTTCCAGTGCTATGAAGCCTGTGTCCTGTATGGAAATAAGTGCATGTACGTGCATACAGCAGTGCCAACAGGGCAAGTGAAGTGGGTCACTACAATGTGTTTCAAAGGTGAGTCAAGGGAGAGGGGGTCATGAACCCAAACTTAAATTTGGTTCAAAAGGGAGCTGGAAGGTGTGGGGGTTCAAAAATGTTGAGAACCATTGTCCGAAAGTGGTGTCCTGTGACACCAAGTGGGTCTTCAAAGTCCAGGGCTTACCCAGAAACATGAATAATGAATAATAGTTATAGTAATGTTGTTATTTCATGTCCTACATGTTAGCAAAGTTAGGGATGGGTTATGCTGGAAAAGAACTAGTTTGTGCGATTCATTGACCAGGTCAGGAATCTAATGCATTTATAGTTGTTCAGAACAGTCACACTGGAAAGCAGAGTAACAAGCCAGTTGTAATAGAAAGGGTGGGGAGGTGATATTGTTTAAAAATGGGGATAATGGTGCACATTTTCAGACAGTCTCTCATGGAAGATATTCATAGCCTTGCACTCAGTTTGTACACAAGAGAAGTGACAAATTGTTGTCAAGAATGAAAAGAAGCTAGAGAGGGACAAACCCTGACTCCTTTCTCACCTCTGTACAGTCTGCCAGAGCGTGAAGTGGGTGTGAATAACGGATTGTCGGTTTCATAAAGGTATAGAAATGGGGGTATGGGGTTTCCAAATATATTTGACCAACTGACAAGCACTTCTGAAGAAGCCTAATATAATATGTGGGTGCTTTCTATTTAGCTAACTTGCTATCATTTCCATGTTTCAATGGAAACTAATGGAAAATGAATTACCAGGAGACTACCTTCTATTGAACTTATGGTATCATCAAAGCTAGCTTGAACCAGCCAATGGAATACTGAAATGTTTTGCTTGTGTATTGCAGTAATATAATGAAATAGTATTGCTTTTGCCACACCAGCCCTCTCTCTCCAATCATGTCCCTGTTCAGAGGCTAGATCCTCCAAACAGCCAACAGAGGTGGGTCCTTGCTCCTGTGTCTCCTCCCCAAATGAGACAGTGTAGCCTCACAGAAACCAGACCTAGTGGTGCATTTGTGTCTTCCTCATCAACAAGTTCAAAATTTCCATTGCAAAATATTACACTAAGCTGCAGAGGAGTTGCACACAGCAGTGCAACACACTATGATTAACAATATACCTAAGCTGCTAACAAGAACAAAAAGCAGAATTCATGCCTGTCTTCCATTATTTACAGCAGTGCCTCTTTCAGTGGTTTATTTCATGTGATGCCTTATTACATGAATTAGACCAATGAAAAAGAAAGCCAACTGAGAGTATTTAAGATAAAATACAATGCAGTTACATATAGTTATATGACCCTTTTTTTGACATTACAAGTTCATAAGGCCCACTTGAACGCTCCATCAAACACGTGATGCAGCACAATGGATTGTGAGATCCTGAGGGCTGCAAAAGATACATGAGTTGTGTCTTCATGTGGGTAGAAGAAGGCTACATGTCTCGGCCACATTTGGATCAGGATATTAGAGTGGAAAAGCTTTCTTTCCAGGAATCATCCCCTGAATTTGGACAAAGCTACTAAACGGATTTCCACTGAAGGGGGGGTCATGATCTAGTAAAAGACTTCCACACAGGATGAACCTATGCATCCTTCCTCTGGAAGCCTTGGGTTCTCTCCGAGATGCACAAGACTGAAGCTTCTTCAATGATTGCAGACTATTATTTCCAGGTCACAGGCTGGAGATCGAGGACACAAGAAAGCTAAGTAGCTAAATGGAAAGCACTGTGTGACAACTTATAGATTTAATTCTCCACAATATTGTTACCTACATTATCTACCTGTAATATCTCCAAAATGGGGTATTCAAGAGGAGTAAATTTTCAAACGCTGCTGTGTTGAATGTGACACGCATACTTCTTCATTGTAAAACACACACATATACACACAAGCGCACACACACTGTGGCTACACAGCCCTTAATGACGAATTTATTGAATGCATTGCACAAAGAGAGAGAGCCAATAAAAGTAGATGACAGACAGAATGAGTTGCGCCATGAAGGAAATTGAAACAACTGAGGTAGAGTGTTCTCAAATGTAAAATATTAAATAACACTTTAACCTTGACTGCAGTGTGCAAAAGCAATTAATCTTATATTAATTAAGCTATCTAAATTAGCTCTATGTGACACCCAAGGGCTAAATGATTAATCAATCATAATCACTCCCTCTTTCATCTGGAACTCCAGCCACCCAATAATGCAGTGCCCGTGCCTTTATGATGTTAAGTGGACTCTGAGGTAGTATGTAATCATGCATATATCATTGCTATCATTGCTGTGGTAAATATTTAAGTTAAATGAGCAGAATCTAAAAATGGAGAAAACATCTGGGTATAGGATTTAGTTAAAAACCAACCACTGTTTTAACTACAGTGTACACATAATTAACTATTGTATGCATACCCACTACATAACAAGATACTCACACTAACCGACCACTTTAGGTGCCGCTGTGCTTTAGGTACACCTGTTCAACTGCTCGTTAACGCAAATATTTAATAGGCCAATCACATGGCAGCAACTCAATGCATTTAGATGTCTAGACATGGTCAAGACGATCTGCTGATGTTCAAACCGAGCATCAGAATGGGGAAGAAAGGTGATTCAAGTGACTTTGAACATGGCATGGTTGTTGGTGCTAGACAGGCTGGTCTGAGTATTTCAGAAACTGCTGATCTACTGGGATTTCCACGCACAACCATCTCCAGGGTTTACAGAGAATGATCTGAAAAAGAGGAAATATCCAGTAAACGGCAGTTCTCTGGGCGGAAATGCCTTGTTGATGCCGGAGGTCAGAGGAGAATGGCCGGACTGGTTCAAGATGATAGAAAGGCAATAGTAACTCAAATAACCACTCATTACAACCGAGGTATGCAGAGGAGCATCTCTGAACGCACACACCTTGAAGCAGATGGGCTACAGCAGCAGAAGACCACACCGGGTGCCACTCCTGTCAGCTATGAACAGGAAACTGAGGCTACAATTTGCACCGGCTCACCAAAATTGGACAATAGAAGATTGGAAAAACGTTGCCTGGTCTGATGAGTCTCAATTTCTGCTGTGACATTCGGATGGTAGGGCCAGAATTTGGCATTAACAACATGAAAGCATGGATCCATCCTGCCTTGTATCACTGGTTCAAGCTGGTAGTAGTGCTGTAATGGTGTGGGGGATATTTTCTTGGTACACTTTGGGCCCCTTAGTACCATTTGAGCATCGTTTAAACGCCACAGCCTACCTTAGAATTGTTGCTGACCATGTCCATCCCTTTATGACCACAGTGTACCCATCTTCTGATGGCTATTTCCAGCAGGATAACGTGCCATGTCACAAAGCTCAAATCATCTCAAACTGGTTTCTTGAACATGACAATGAGTTCACTGTACTCAAATGGCCCCCACAGTCACCAGATCTCAATCCAATAGAGCACCTTTGGGATGCGGTGGAACGGGAGATTCGCATCATGGATGTGCAGCCGACAAATCTGCAGCAACTGCATGACGCTATTATGTGAATATGGACCAAAACCTCTGAGGAATGTTTCCAGTACCTTGTTGAATCTATGCCATGAAGAATTAAGGCAGTTCTGA